TAAGCAATTTTGGCGAGGTTATTATTGATGAATACCTTTATCGAAGAAATCAACGAAGTATGACATCGAGTACATGAGAATAAGACTGACCTGTTTGCGGCCTATCCAGCACTTTGATGGGCGTCTGCAGCTTCAACAATTGCTCCACATCCTTTTTCACAGCTTCGCACGATCTTCTTTCCATCGAAGAACAACTAGCCGCGAACAAGACGATCGCGAAAAGCACGATTTCAGTCCGTCGTAGATCCAACACAGTCATTTTCATATTTATTCCGCCTTACAGATCGTCTTTTACGTGAAGTGATTACGGCAAAATTACAAAGACGCCGGCGAAATCGAAGCCTACTCGATCCGCGCTAGTTTAGTGAAGTTCGCCGCCTACCTTGACCGCGGATTTTTATTTTTTGCATCAAACCGGCTCCATGCATTCCTTTTGCATACATGGAGGTTAATACGACATGATTTCGTACGATTTTTCATTCAACATAGGAGGGTTTTTGCTGATGTTACCTTGCCGAGTTGCTGCGATGTGTCAAAGCACGCGCGCGCGTTGGACATCAGCAATGCACGGCACTCCGAAAGCTTTGTAGCGGAGACGACTGCGTCGCGGAATGCAGTGCAGACGGGTTCGCGGCATCTCGCGACTCCAGTCTTGTTCGGCCAGTATTCGGCAGGGTTGCCGTGTTGGGCACCCGGTTATTCCAGAGTAAAGATAGCCCCTTTGTCATCGACACAGCAAAGGCTTTTTAATATATAAATGTTTGTATAATGTCTGTGAGTTTATCAGTTTGTAAATGTTGATTATTTTGTTTTAATATAGTTTCGTCATAACTCTGTATATAGATGCTCTCTTGACGATTTCTATACAAACTTTGTCTCAAGAAAATAATAAATTAAAATTATAAAATCTGCTTCTGAGATGACATTACTGGAGGTCTAAGCTGTAAGTTGTATGTGTTGATGATCATTACATTGGCTTCTTAATTGAGATTCAAAGCGAGAAATTAGTTGCACATCCACTTTTTCTTATCCATTCTGGAAATTACATATACAAATTTGCTGAGTTTCAAAAATGAGAGAAATAAGAAATAATTATATTCACTGTACACTGTCGAATTACAAGCCATATACGTGCTAACAGTAATTACACACAACGCGGGCGCGGTGATGATTTCCCGTAATTCTCCTCAGTTTTTCGTAATGTATAACTTTGAACATAACCTCTCTTCAGAAAGCACAACATATAAATAACCCGCCATATTCGGCATATTCAGTAATGATTTTCTCACACAGCAAATATATCACTGATTTTATACACATGCAGACCAATACACATAATCATCCAGATGCGATCTTGCTATTCAACCAACTTTCTTCTCAGAGATAAAAACTACAGACACGGATCACTCAGCCTCACAAAACTATGCAACCAATAACGCGTGTAGTTTAGATGAGTGATTCCTCCATAGATGGAGGCTCACAACGATCCTAGTGAGCAAACGTGGAATGACTGTTTGCGCCCTAAAAACTGCCTAGTCTGCACGTTGACATCTTATAGGTTTCTTTTTATGTTTTATAAGTCTTTTACATGATACAGGTGCCGGGGGGGGGAGCGGCTTTCGGGCTCAAATTGTCCGAGAACCTTAAAGCCTAATTCAATTATCATCATAGTTCAGAATCCCACGATATTTTGTGAACAAATAATGGTATAATGGCATGAAAAAACGAAGCTCGGAATTGATAATTTTCCCCAGCTATACTATGGTAACCTTGAATTTAACTTTGATCATGACTTTCAAGGTAATTTGAAGGTCAAATCCATTTTTTTAGATAGAACCCCCATTTTGAAATGCGTAAATAAGAAGGGCGGAAAATTTTACGTTTTTTACTTAGGCGGTCCGGGTCAAGGTCAACCCCAAGTATGGTGATATAGCTTGAAAACTAGTAGTCGTATAGGGAAACTGACTTTCATCATTTCTCCCGAGTATCTATTGATGACCAAGGTCATGTGAAGGTCAAGTCGTTTTTAGTAGCCAGGGAACAATCTTGAAAGAACATTGACGTCAGTTTATCTGAAGACTACAGAGTTTCCTAAATTAGTCCAAAGTCAGGTTTCGAAAATAGTTAAAGACATATACGAACATAAAATTTTTCCTTGTCTCCATTTCCGCAGGCAAAAGTATATAGACGTCACCGAAACAAATATACAAAAAGAGAAATTGTTCTTTTCTATTGAACAAAACACCTAACGCTACAAGTTCATTGAAAAAATGCCTGACTAGGAGGATCTTCCACAGACATAGAGAACCTCGGTTTTTATTAAGTAACTTTTGAATGTACAACTATTGATTATACTCGAGTACCGGAAAGGCAGCATCGCACACCACTGGCTAGCGTGGTATACGGCGGAATACTCACGCTCCGACTTTGTCAAGGAACGCCTCGCCTTAGGTAGCGTGCGATGTGTTTTACTGCTCTCTTCCTTTTCGATCCCAGGATATAGCGTATTCCACCTGAAGATACTCAGTTAAAATAGGGATTAGAAATGCGCCAAAACGGGATTGAGGATCCTAGCATCATCTATGATAAAAATATACTAACGAAGTGGATTTAAAAATGCATGTGTCTGCTCTGCTAATGTATCATTCTCATAGATGGCGCTAGGAGCTTTCAGATCCCTTTGCGAGAGTCTGAATACACCTTTGGTCGGCTATTATCTTAAGGTAGAATACTTTAATTAATGATAGAACGAAATTTGGACAGCATAAGTAACCATATGATGGTGCTCATCGAAAATAATTAACTCATTAATTAGCCAATGACGCACTAGCAGTAATACGACATTGCTGAACTTTCAATACAGTGGAGCGCCTGGAGCTGTAAAACCGTTAAAATCTCGGAGTCGATTAATTTTAATGAATTTACATGGAATGTGCAGTAAATGACATACCTAAAATCCTCTACACATTAAGAAATCGCTACTATTCAACATGCTACGCTAACTCTTGTCGTTATTTTGGTGTTATAATGTTTCCTCTAACTGGCCATATGAGCCTTATACACTTGCATTTTCAAAGATAAATGGACGAGCAGTGTATCGTGAATACGTACAAAAATGCACAATAAACTAAACAAATATGTTGAGATGTAACCCTATACGTTCCAAGTTGTAGAAGAACGATTATTATCATCGCCGAATTGCGAAAATCCACTGTGTCTGACGGTTGTTCGATCGTGGATTTGGACATAGACCGCGTAAGCTGCTCTGTCTAGCACATACATTTGACTTGAGAGCTATAACAATCTTTTCAAACTAAATGCATAATTTCTTTTCTTATCATTTGATGCTTATCCGAAACGGGTCCTAATGTATCTGCTACCTCAATAGCTGCATGAAAAATCAATGGCTAGTGAATTTATACCAGTTGAGACTTAGGACACTCACTCAACAAGCACTTTAGCAAAACATTGAAGCCCGATCCATCAAATTCACATCCTGGCCACATCTTCCCTAGCTTGCTGATTAAGTTGAAAATCACAAGTCGCCTGGCACCAAAATTCATCTAAACGATACTTTTGGAGGCTATTGAAACTGTTAGAATAAACTATGAACCACTTCTGTCACTTTTCGTTCTTGGATCACATAGATAAAGGTTTACGCTACATTTTATGTAGTAAGTAATATCAAGTTGCCTTTGGAAACAAAAGTTTGTTTACTTACCTTACTGTCAGTTGACATTTATTTGATTTGAAGTTTTCGCTTTAAGATGTCATATAAATTAGAAATAAGAAAAAGCATCTACAAGCTGAAATCTGCTGAATATTCCACAATGAAAACATTTTACTCAGAAAGATTTATCGAACAATAGCGGAGTGCGCGCAGGGAATATCATGTCTGAATCTCCCAAAAAGTGGTCAGAGAGATTAGTGAGAAGAGCAAAAAATTAGGTTGGAATGTCAACAATTAAGACAACAAATTTACGAAAAACTGAGAGAAATTGCTGTGAATTCCGTCCAGGACCCATGAGACGCAAGAAAGTTGCGTCTGGTAAAACAGAATGAGCCACTCCACACAAATCGATGATATAGTTTAGTCAAGTATTGAGTTGTAATTTATGAGAACTAGTTAGTGTTCAAATAAATTACTTCACTGAAAAAAATTCCATAAATATTTTGTGCCAAAGCTTTTACGACATACATACGTTATGTTCCACAGCTCCCGTCTTTTTCTAATTCCGAGTATAGAAGCATTAGGAGGCATATATTTAAGTGGTATATCCTGAATGATCATTGCAAATATTGCCTATACAGAACATGATAAAAAGAAAAAAAAGCTTAGCGATGTGAACGATTTATAGCTATTGTAGTAACAGTAACTTTTATGTTTTATTTTATGTTTATTTAACATTTGTCGATTTTTTTGTTAGCATTCTGTTCAAGTATTCTCCGTTTAATCATACCTTTGCATCTTCAATTTCTGTCATAGTATTGTGTTGTCGTTTTTAAGAAACTTCTTTTAGCGTGGCATCATCGCACCGGTAACTTGCGGCCCCGGAGTTTGTTTTTGTTTATTTCCTTTTGCAGACGGCAGCGTACAAAAAGACGTTCAAAACGTGCACAGGCGCATTGCTTACTTGCCGCGGCGTTGCCATATTGTGTAATAAAAGAAGAATTTTTATGAAAACTGTTATTCATAATTTAATGTATTCCTGAACGCAACAGTGATCGGATTCGTGAAAGATAGACACTGCACCGCTCCAATTCAACAAAAGGCTCTTTCCACTCAGTGGTTCATATCAGCAGGAATAGTTTTTTGAGGATGCATTGCACCGTTGAGGCTCATCAGAAAGTCTATTGCATTCACTGATTCACGGTATAATCTCTATTGACATTTCCATGTCATTTGTCATTGCCATTTTGTTTGATATTTTGTATTTCGCGTATTTATCCAACAAAAAGTGGTTGGTGTAATTGCAAAAAAGTTACTACTATTACTTAATGTTGTTGTATTGCATATCTGAACCAACAATTTGGTGTATTGGACAAATTAGTAGAAAATTAAACCAAACGAAATACAATGTTCCACACGTTTCCCTACGAGAATGAATAAATCCTTTTCAAGCATTGATGGTACCATGACACAGCCTATTTCACGAGTATCCATTACGTTTAAACGTTTACTGAGGTGAACATCTGATCAGCAAATGACATATTTTTATTATACTGTAACGTTGGCAATAATAAATCGGATGTTTGTTCACGAAGAAACTTTTCTAAATGAAAGAGTTGTTAGCAAGTACAAAATGAATCCATAGCGTGCGAAAAACTACGACAAAATACAGCTCTGTCTATCAGGCGTTGACGCGTTGACCCCCCATTTGTCCATATGTTGAGAAAGGCGTAGTACTCAGATTCAAGTAGAAGCATCAGATGAAGATGAGGGAAGAGCGTAGTAACTTCTACAACAAACAAAGTATTAGTTATTCAAGAGATCCTGAAAGCTAAGCGGGCATTTTAAAGGCTGCAACATCAACCTTAGGTTTCAGAAAAAGGTATGAGGAACTGACATGCCTCATTGGCTTTTTTGACAATATATAGGCTTTTTGTGACATTATGTCGGTTTTTCTACAAGATGTCAACTTAGCACTAACCGTTGTACGCTGGATGTGTACTCGTTCCGTAGTTGTACGTGATGCCTAAACATCATGATGCTTCAGCTATCATTGTTTGGCTCTGATGTGATGTAACATCTGCTTCAGAGTTGACATCATTGGAGGTTTAAGCTGTAAGTTGTATACTATAGCTGGAAGGAAACGGCAGGGTTATCACGTAAAAACTTACATAATGTCACTTTTCAAGTTACTTAATATCCCTGTAGTGGGTATTCATGTCACTGTACACGGGCATCAACGGTACTTCCTAATCATATTCATTGCTCGTAACATAATATAAATTAATACTAACATAACTTAAATTCGACAAGGTGATTATGTTTGATGTTTTAAATTTTCTTAACTGAGTTAGAACACAAGGAGACAGAGGTGATTAGATCATAAGGGAAACTTACAGAAATTAGGTGACAAGCGTGGCAACATTGCTCTAATCAAGTACTTTGCTGTTACTGAGCGAACACCGTGCGCCGAGATAACCTAAAAAAATGGTCATCTGTCAGTTGTAGAAGGAAAAAGTGGTCAAACTCTATTAGTATTTTTCCTACAAATTTCCTGTCTTTTCGAAAATGAAGGGCATGAAGTTCAAACCGATCACCCACGTCATTTTCGATATGGACGGAGTTCTTTTAGGTGAGTTCTGTTATATAATTCCAATCCATTTTGTCGAGTCTGGTGTGCGGTTAGCTAGATTGTCGTGAGTTGGACATGTGGAAAAACACATTATGACAATTTAGCTGTGAATCAGATGAAATCGACAGACATTCTGACACACTTTTTGATTAAACCATGTGCCTTCCAACGTGGAAAAAGCATAACCTTACTTTCTGATACTACTTTTCAATTTTCTTTGTGCTGGTCATTGTAGTATATAAACTTAAAACAGGTACGTTATTTTTTAAAAATGAAATCCTAAACATTATTATAGAAGAATATTGAGTTATGCTATATAGAGTGATGAGATTTATTTCGGGGCTCTTGCTTAGCTGCTGAAAGAATCAGATACGATTCTATTCTCCTTAATTTAGGGACATGAATGAGGAATCTACAGCATTTTGATTTTATGATATATGATAATGTGGGATTCGAAATCATGGATTTTTTAATTTTCATCTAAGTCATAAATGTGAAATCACAGCACCTCGATTTAACATTGTGGATACTGGGCATTTATAACTAGATTTATCAGTTTATTATTACATAAAAGCTGTTATCGGAAACCAAAACTGGTGGCATTCAATAGTATATTGGATAAAACCTGTTTCACATAAAGGAAATATTTGACATAAAATATTTCCTAGCAACTTGAAGTCTTATACTTCTTATACTAAATTAGTTATAATGTTTATTAATCCACACATTAATTAGTGGAAATTCTGGTGTCCCAAGTCTAGATTTTCAATGAAACTGGCTTGTAGTATCACAAAGTATAGCAGGGCTCAGATCAGAAGTTGATGGTATTCTGAACTATCCCAGAATTGTTCTGATTCTTTGCAATAGGTGCCATCATTTCAGAACTACTGTGTGAATGTCAAAATGAGAACAGTTCTGAGAAAGTTCCAAGTAGAAAATGTAGAAAAATTTATCAACATATTTAATGGATTATGTGAATGTAGCATGAATTGATTACAATGTCAGTGGTTTCATTTATTGGATAGTATTGTAATGAGTAGTGAAATGTAACAACTACTGCTTGTGCTGTAAATTGCTAGGAAACATTTAAATTATGAAGGTCTTGCTTGTATGCATCGTAGACTTATTGTTCCAATTTAGTTGGCTTTTTGTTAAACTTCGCTGTACCTGCTAATGTAATAACAAATTGTTGTGCCAGAACTATATGCAGTTTAACATGGGTTTTTCTTGTTTTATATATTATTTTATATGGTGTCTATGATCTTAGAAGCCACAAAAAAATGTTGAACCTTACACAAAACAAGGTATTCATAGTTTATGCTCTATTTATGAAATATTCTAATAGCGATAATAGTATTGAATATTGGATCGTTATAATCTTGTCACCTTTTTCGTACATGAAAACCAAAATTCTCTATTCATTTTCAGGTATTTTTTTTTACCTGTGCTATGCAGATTAAATATGCTTATTTTCTAACACTCAAGCTTTCATTGAATATAGTCAACTGTCAGTAATCACAATAATTGTTAATATACTAAGTGACATATAAATCTGAACACCCAGTTTAAATGGTTTTATTTTAATAAAAGTTGGTGAATGTATTTATCTTACTGTAAATAACAAGTGAAAAAATTTTCAGCCTTATCAGTTGGACATTCCGGTTTTTATACTGCTTTTTTTTAATTCACTAACGCTCTAAAAATGAATATTTCAGCCACAGTAAAGAATCAATGTTGGCGGATTTTGGTTCTTTACATCCTTTACGATCGGTTACGATGCCTAGAGTATGGAGACCTGTACGATTTCGTCAACTTAGTGAGTTTGATAGGGGCCGTATAGTGGGACTTCGGGAAGCTGGACTTTCTTTTCGGGCAATTGCAGTTAGAGTGCAAAGAAGTGTAGACACTGTGGTTAGGTGTTGTCAGGCATGGCTTCGAGAAGGCCGTACGCAAAGAGCAAGGGGCACTGGACGCCGCCGTAGAACAACAGACCGTGAAGATCGCCGCCTAAGATTATTGGCCTTAAGGGACCGTTTCTCCACTACCAGGTCCATTGCAAATGAATGGTTTGCAGAACATGGAAGACCTATTGGCATGCGAAGTGTTTACCGACGAATGAGAAGTTTTGGCTTGTTTTCATACCGGCCACACTGGGTCCTCCCTTTAACTCGAGAACACCGACGTAATCGCCTTGAGTGGTGCAGACAACGGTCACTCTGGGATCAGGAATGGAACAGTATTGTCTTTAGTGACGAGTCTCGATTTTGTTTAGGCATGCACGATGGTCGTGCCAGGGTTAGAAGGAGGAATCCACAGTTTTTTGTTACCATTGTTACCATGGCCACCAAGATCTCCCGACTTATCCCCAAATGAGCACGTGTGGGATATGATGGGTAGGAGATTGCTCAATTTGCAACGTCCTCCTCAGACTCTAGAAGCACTTCGAGAGGAGTTGGTGGTTGCCTGGAATGAGATACCACAGGAGGACATTGACCACCTGATCAGAAGCATGCCTAGGCGCGTTGGAGAATGCGTAGCACATCAGGGTGCATCCACACATTATTAAAGGTCAAAGGGCTTTAAAGCAGTGCAATCATTTTGAAATTTTTATCATTTACTTATTATGCTTCATTAAGTACTTATACAAAATTTTATTAAAATAAAACAATTTAAACTGGGTGTTCGGATTTATATGTCACTTAGTATACTAATCTTTTAAAGAATGAGTTATAAGTAGGAAGTCAATTACACCCAGTGTTTGCTATGAACACTTGTACATTTATTCAATGTACAACTAAGAATGCGAGGTACTGGTAACCTATCCGTCGTAGAGGCTGTGAATTCCGCTACATTAACCTAACAACAAATTTTTTTGCTTTATCTTCAAAAATAAAGGGGTGGGGGACATTCAAATGTTTCCGTAAAAACACACATGAGCCGATTTTAACAATCTTTGGCTAGTGGAAAAGAGCTATTATTTGGTTACAAATTTTATAATATCTAAAGTTTTGTTAGTTTCACATGTGTCCGCTAGAGGGTTTTTCAGGTATGATTTTGTTTTATGAATAGGTACCTCAATGATGTCAAAACAAGCTCGCAAAAACTGCATCTCGTTATTTTGTTCATAACCTAAAATTTTGGAAAAAGAAAATTTTATACAGAAATCTCTTATTGTTTTAAACTAATTTTTTTGAAATTTTTTATTCATCAGAATAAAACCACCCTTTTTGAAAATATTACAAATATCGCTGAAAGGTAAGTAAGTAATGCTAATAACAAAACTCATATTATTTACTATGGGTATATCCGAAAAAGACAATTAATACAACAAAACAAATACCTAACCAAAACATAAATAATCCTCAAATTGTCAGTAGTTGTCAATATTTTCGCGTTAATTTGAGCAATTTTTGTGCTTACCAAATGCGTTGAAGTTTATTTTGAATGAGAAAATTTGGTAATTTTTGCGAGAACTATATGGCATATAAGGAAAACTTCCAAACTTAAGAACACCCTATATTTTGTAGTGTGTCTCGCACAAAAGCGAATATTAAGTATAGTGAGGTATCATTTAAAAAAAGACACGACTCAAGTTCAAGAGGTCAGTAGCACAGCTAAATGAAACATAAACAAACTGATAAATAATCTGATATATCTTTTACAATATTACTAGCAGTAATTGATTACCAGTAGTAGCGTATGTTCTTCCCAATATGTTAGAAGTGATTTGTACGAAAAACGTATGTATTTTTGTTGTCTAAAAAAAATATCAATTTATACAAAAGTGAACTGTTGCACATAAGTGACATTTTTCTATAATCAGAAACTTGTTAGTTGAGAATGGATAGATATTTGCGCTGTCTATAAATACATGCACATGTCATACTCACAAACACGTGTGTCAAAGTGCATTGCTTTTTTATCTTCCTTATTGTTATTTTGTATCTGTACGATGCATTTTTTATCTTGACAGTCTGATATGCATATCTTTCTGCAACTTCGAGAGAAAAATTATTTATCTAGTGCTATGCTTTTAATTTTAAATATAGTTAATTGTAAACCTGCAGCTCATATGCATGCATAGTAGGAGTTGTTAAATATGTATGTTCCATATTCATCTCGGTTTCAGTGTGTTTCACAATAATTTCAAAATCGCCAGAAAAGTAAGGCAGTTTTTCAGCTTATCGCGTGAGGCTGTGTCTCTACGTTTTGCCTAGTTGCTACCATGATCTTTATTTGCTTCTTTGAGCTGTTTTTTACAAATATAAGTAGTACAGCTTGTAGTTGGCATTCCTATGTTTCAGTATATGAAACCTCCATAGCAATATTCAGATTTTTCATCACTTGTTATTCAAGTTTTTGGTCAAACATTGTTTCTTGACTCTAGAAATTTAAAGTTGCTTTACGTTCCATGATTTTATTGATTTTTTATACGCTTTCTATTAGATGACTTGTGCCAAACACGGGGGAATCATTGAATATCATGCTCTTTGGAAGACCAGTTATCAAAAGGTTCTAATCACCCATCGAAATTAACGCGGCGGAAGAATTCGTCATCGCGCGGCAATAACTACGACTTTTTGATAATCGGCCCAAAGAGTAGTACACCTACCTCATTAGATGGACTAGACTAGAGCCAACAAATGTCTTGATACCTGATACTCACACTTTCAGTGCATGTTTTATCCCTCAGTTCTTCAATTATACCATATAATTGTATGACTTCATATACTAAGTGACATATAAATCCGAACCCCAGTTTAAATGGTTTTATTTTAATAAAAGTTGGTGAATGTATTTATCTTACTGTAAATAACAAGTGAAAAAATGTTCAGCTTTATCAGTTGGACATTCCGGTTTTTATAATGATTTTTTTTTTTAGTTCACTAACGCCCTAAAAATGAATATTTCAGCCGCAGTAAAGAATCAACGTTGGCGGATTTTGGTTCTTGACATCCTTTACGATCGGTTACGATGCCTAGAGTACAGAGACCTGTACGATTTCGTCAACTTAGTAAGTTTGATAGGGGCCGTATAGTGGGACTTCGGGAAGCTGGACTTTCTTTTCGGGCAATTGCAGTTAGAGTGCAAAGAAGTGTAGACACTGTGGTTAGGTGTTGTCAGGCATGGCTTCGAGAAGGCCGTACGCAAAGAGCAAGGGGCACTGGACGCCGCCGTAGAACAACAGACCGTGAAGATCGCCGCCTAAGATTATTGGCCTTAAGGGACCGTTTCTCCACTACCAGGTCCATTGCAAATGAATGGTTTGCAGAACACGGAAGACCTATTGACATGCGAAGTGTTTACCGACGAATGAGAAGTTTTGGCTTGTTTTCATACCGGCCACACTGGGTCCTCCCTTTAACTCGAGAACACCGACGTAATCGCCTTGAGTGGTGCAGACAACGATCACTCTGGGATCAGGAATGGAACAGTATTATCTTTAGTGACGAGTCTCGATTTTTTTTAGGCATGCACGATGGTCGTGCCAGGGTTGGAAGGCGACGTGGTGAAAGGAGGAATCCACAGTTTTTTATTGAAAGACATAGTCATCACACTGTTGAAGTTATGGTTTGGGGTGCTATAGCTTATGGTTCCAGGTCACCTTTAACCTTCATCAGAGGTAACATGAACGCGCAGCGTTATATCCACGAAGTTCTAGAACCCCATCTTTTACCCTATCTTGACACCCTGGCAGATCCAACTTTCCAACAAGATAATGCCCGACCACATGTTGCAAGAGTCACAATAGACTTCTTTCAACATAATGATGTCACATTGGTACCATGGCCACAAAGATCTCCCGACTTATCCCCAATTGAGCACGGGTGGGATATGATGGGTAGGAGATTGCTCAATTTGCAACGTCCTCCTCAGACTGTAGAAGCACTTCGAGAGGAGTTGGTGGTTGCCTGGAATGAGATACCACAGGAGGACATTGACCACCTGATCAGAAGCATGCCTAGGCGCGTTGGAGAATGCGTAGCACATCAGGGTGCATCCACACATTATTAAAGGTCAAAGGGCTTTAAAGCAGTGCAATCATTTTTAAATTTTTATCATTTACTTATTATGCTTCATTAAGTACTTATACAAAATTTTATTAAAATAAAACCATTTAAAGTGGGTGTTCGGATTTATATGTCACTTAGTACATTTTTCCTGTTTTATGTTATGTACTGTTACATATGCCGATAGGTCTTTTCATGGTTTTTGGAGGTTAGGTCACAATGTCATATGAAATAAGTGTACAGATTGACTTATTCAGAACGTACCGCTGCCTTTCTGAAGGACAGGAAAAACTATGAAAATCAATTAGGCCACAAAGGCCTCCTACAATAATTGTAGGAACGACTGACGATACGGGTCTGAATTGTCTTTTTAGATATACTCTTCAGGCGTTGTCTTATATCAAAGATTAACATTGTGGAAGACTCATATGTTGAGAGAAACTTTGAAAGGCAGTAAGAGAAAAAAAGTGGTATGTGAAATGACCTTTAACAAAGTCTGGATAACGGTCGCCTTTATCAGAACCTGAACATCTCGTGCTAAAGAACATGATCATTGGTTAGCTTAGCAGGTTCTGCTGATTTTTAGGGTGTCCAGCACAAAGCTACAGAAATTTCCTCTTCTCCCGAAGTATTTTACTCTGGTACATTTTGATGCAGAGCACAAGATCAGGCTACTTTTTCAACCACGCTAGTTTTGTGCAATTTCTCTTAGATTACCCCAGCAAGCACTGTCAGTTTATTATGTAATTTGCCTTGTATTCTGTCAAATTGCGAATATATCGACGTAATAAATTATTGGAGGATAACAGCGAAAAAAATAGGAAATATGTCAAGGCACACAAAATCACATTTTTCTAGTAAGTGCCACATAAATATAAAAGGTTGTCCAATAGGGACGCAGGAAAGTAAACGTCAATTTGACATAGACGCCATCTTTGTTTTCTGTCACCGACATGTCATTTTGTTAGGTGAATGTTTACCATTGATCGCTATGGAGTCGTATTCGATTGAAGACCGCATTAAAGTTATTCAAGAGCACTAAAAAAATGGTGCAAAAATAAAAAACACGTTTCGCGCGCTTCGTGAACATTTCGGTCGCAACAACCGCCCAAACGAAACAACCATCGGTCGACTGGGCGTAAATTCGAGGCAACAGGTTCTGTGGCAAATCTGCCAGGCTCTGGCCGGCCAAGGAGCGTTCGCACACCGGAAAATATTGCTGTTGTGAAGGAGAATGTGAGAGACGATCCGAAACAATCAACAACGCGTCGATCCCAAGAATTGGGCATTTCGAGAACCAGTTTGCTCCGCATTCTCCACAGGGATTTGAATGTACACGCCTACAAGATCCAATTGACGCAAGAGCTGCGTCGGTCCGACCATTTTTCGCGCCGAACGTTCTCAGATTGGCTCCAATTTTTCATCAAAAATCATGTTCAGCGACGAAGCGAATTTCACTTTGAATGGGAGGGTAAACAAGCAAAACTGCCGCATCTGGGCGAACGAAAATCCCCGTGAGTATCAAGAGCAGCCGATGCATCCTCAAAAAGTGACTGTGTGGTGTGCATTGTGTTCAAAAGACATCATCGGACCTTAATTTTTCGAAAATGCAGCCGGGGACGCCGTTACCGTCAATTCTGAGCGATATCACGTGATGATAGAGGACTATTTTTTGCCGCAACTTAAAGGAATGGATATGGACGATGTTTATTTCCAACAAGACGGTGCAACATGCCACACAACCAACGTCAATATCCATCGATTGCAGTCCTTCAAAAAGTGCAAATGTAAAAGCGCAATTAGTTTTTTGATATTAATTTCTTAAAATGTAATGTCAGAAAAAATAAAAATGGTTTGGCCAAATTTTAGTTTTTCCCAAATATCTCAGGAAGCCATGAAATGTTTAAGAGTTTCTCAACGGCATGTAAAGAACGCAGTATCTCCCACAGTCATTGAAATCCCCAGCCATAGGATCCTTATTTGGAACACCCAGTATGCGTCTATAACTCTATCAAAGCTTTGCCGTAGCTTGGTCTACAATGAAAACCAAATACCACTGACGTTGTAATGTGTACGAGAGAAAAGCGTGCAATGCGTGTGTTAGAAAAAGTTAGAAGCATATCGTTCGAGGTCACGGAAGCTATCGACGTACTCTTTCTAACAAACATATCGCATGCTTCTCTTACACATTACGACGTCAGCCAAATTTGAATCTCCCCGTATGTAACTTCAAGCTGTACTTGTTTCCACTCATTCCGTAGATATTTATAAGTTAAATGCGCGTTAATCATAAAATATCGTTCACCCCAAAGATTGAGCGCTACCTTGTTTTGTTTAAGGTTCACGCCTTTGAGCACCGGCGGCCAATGACATCGGTGCTGCGACATTTATCGCAGATGGCATTGAAATCGCTCCGCCCCATAGTCCTCTGCGGGCCATCGGGCTCCGGCAAGAGCACGCTGCTCCAGCGGATGATGCGCGAATACCCGGATACGTTCGGCTTCAGCGTCAGCCACACCACCAGGAAGCCGCGTCCGGGAGAGGTGGACGGCGTTCACTACCACTTCACCACCAAGGACCAGATGCTGGAGGCCATCCGAGCTGGCAGATTCCTCGAGCACGCCACCTTCAGCGGCAACACGTACGGCACGAGCAAGGCCGCCGTCGAGGATGTCAAGAAGGCTGGGAAGATATGCGTGTTAGATATTGACACGCAAGGAGTGAAACAGGTGAAGCAAACTGATTTAAATCCGTGGCTTATCTTCATCGAGCCGCCGTCATTGGAAGTGCTCGAAGCCAGACTGAGAGCCAGAAAGACGGAAACCGAGGACAGTTTGGCGCAAAGGCTGAATGTAGCTAGGGAGGAAATGGAGTACGGGAAAACCTCTGGAAATTTCCATGTGATTATCACCAACGATGATCTGGATGAGGCGTACGACAAGCTGAAGAAGTTTTTGGAAGAGAATGTATTCGAAAAGAAGTAAGATTTGCAGATAGTGGCATTTAAGATTTATTCCTGCATTATTGAGTGTTGTTTGTAGCCGCCGACTACTAAAAAATATAGACCTCTTGATTCGTTCATCAAATCAAAAATGTGTCGTTGCGCACATCTCGATGGGCCAGAGGGTATTACTTATCTTGAAAAGTGACATTTTGTCGTTTTTTAATAGGTTTTTTGTGACATAACGTAGGTTTTTCTACACGTCAACTTAGCAATAGCTGTTGTACACTTGTGAACTCTTTTTGTAGCTGCACATGTTGTAATAAACATCATGATGCTTCAGCTGTCAATGTTTAGGTGCACAGTGAAGATTTACGTGCATCGGTGGTGATGATAATTCCATTGGTTTCTTGTCTCAAATACACTTATGTATTCAAAACTAGAAATTATTTGCGCATCCACTTTCTTTCATCCATTCTGGAAATTACATACGCAAATTTGCTGAATTTAAAAAATGAGAGAAATAAGAAAGGTAAATCCCTGGTTTGTGAAGTAATTAACTTTATGTGGAATCTTATATTTTATACTTACATATCGTCGCATTTTGCAAATATATTCACTGTACACTGTCGAATTACAAGTCATATACATACTAACAGTAATTACACACATCGCGGGTGCGGTGGTGATTTCCCGTAATTCTCCTCAAAGTTTTTGGAAACATCGTAATCATAACTTTAAACATAACCTGTCTTCAGAATGGCCAGCATATAAATAACCCATCAGACACAGCTAATAGATATACTTCATTAGAAGCACATTCATTAATAATTTTCTCACATAGCAAGTATCTTTGATTTTATACACATGCAGGCCAATATCCAGATGCTATCTTGCTACTCGACAAATTTTCTTTCTTTCACATCTCGGAGATAAACACTGCTCCGCTTTCTGCAACCCACAATGCATGCTTGAGCGTGTCGTGTCTTTAAGTCATTACTCGATAGATGGACGCTTTTGATGACGCTCACAATACCCCTGCGGGTGTAAACAAGGCCTGATAATGACCGACTTTGGTCGATCCAGTAGCGTAGCATAGGGTCAGTATTCGAGGTCAACAGTACGAACATTTCATTTTTGAATACTGTTCTGTGGCAGCTTTGAGAAAAATGGCCCGGTCGACAATTTTTCAAGAGGGCGTACTTATTAGGTACATCGTATAAATTAATTGATACATTTTTAGGTTAATTTGTTTTATTCGATACGGCAAAACAGAATCACGTAACTTTGAATCCTCATCTTGCTTGTCGTTCAATGAGAGAAATGCTGCTTCTCAATAAGCCTTTGCGGTCTGCAATGGAGATTTCATGAATTGATGGTGAAAAAAATTGTTTATTTTCATTCAGTTATATGTTAGGTCAGGCAGATCTCATCGGAATAGGGATCAACCTATGACTTGGATATAACTAAAAAGGGGCATATTATGCTGTCCATACATGTAAAAAGTAAATATTGTGCAAAAATCAGAGACCAAAAGCATTGAAACAACCGCGCGAGGGGGAATCGAAAATAAAACATAAATATAACCTATACTTACCTATGAAACGAAACGTGTCCTTCCTTGTGTATTGTGCAGTGTTGATTTCGCAAACAAAATCACTGCTATAAAAATAAAGAAAATTGAAATAAGTTGCTCCGTCAATACAAAAACTCACAATGAGACATTCGAATGAATATCGTAATAACAAATAATTTTACTCATCTCGTCATGACATATGAATACAATTTCTTATTGTTAATTAACTAATATGTATTGAATACCGCCTATAGATACAAAGCATTTTCGGAGATTTACTAACCTCCGTTGGGGGACATGCAACATGGCAGCTTTCCGAGGAAATGTCCACAAAAATCCGAATGTAAATATATAGGTCTATATTTTTTTAGTCGGTGTTTGTAGCATTTTAGAGTAAGACAGCATATACTTGATGTCATCAAAGTGATTAAAGTTAGTTGTAAGAATATGAAACATAAAAGGAGTAGCGCTCTGTGACATTGTAAAAAAAAAATAACTAAGTTAGTTGAACACTGCTAATATTTTTATGTAGGTACCCTCGTACCTGTCCAAGAATACCTCACCACAACTTTATTTTAAGTATTATATGAAAAAATAATGATGAAATAGCAAATCATATAATAGTCATCAAAAGTCAAATCAGGTTCTACGGACAGAGACGTCGATAGTTTGGTGTAGTATAGTTATGCTTTTGTACAGTATTTTCGGTTTAAAGTTACTTTTAGATTACATCACTCAAAATTTGTTCATCCTTACTCGATAAAATTATTTCTAAAGCTAAATTTTTAACATTGAACTCTTTGGATCAGAAAAATATTCTTATGCATTTATTTCAACTACAACTATTGAATCAGAGAGAAATTCGCTTTTATCAAATTTGGCCGCCACTTTATATTATTATACATCGTGCAATTGCAGTCGAACCTTCTGCTATTACTAGTATAATTAATGTGATTGATATTAGAGAGTTATAGGTATACATGACATCCCGGTAGTACCTTTGACAGAAGATTTATGTGTCATGCTTTCGTAATTTAATTATTCGTAATTCTCTGTTGTTAGCATTAGGTGTGTATGTGTAATTGATGTTGTAATTTTTCTTAGCGTGGATTGTGAACATTACATTTAATATCACATATACCATAAATTCGTGTTTATCGCTAATCATTACCTGCCTGCCTCAAACCGCGGTGATTCAGGATGATGGTGTTACTAGTTTGGTTTTTCATTTGAGCTACAATAGTGTAACTTACCTTGAAATACTCATCAACATGTATGGATATTTATTTCAAGAAGATATGGGAAACGTATATTTAATGTTTTTACCTAAAGTAGTGGCATTTTATCTTCTCAAGTTTCCGCTACCTCTAATTGAGCTTAATAGACAAACCTACCAAACGACGATAGATTGAGTTTTTGATTTTTGTTCGAAAATTTTATCGAAACATTTTTCAACCTGAAACAGTTGTGATATGACATTATTTATACCTGTCCATCTTATTTATGTGATAATTATTGATGTTGATATTATCCAAAATATTGTTTACAATTCATCTTAAAAAGTATTTGCATTTTTAATTTATATATTTGTATGATCTGTATATGTATATGCTTAATTGTTGGAATTACCAGTATTTCTAATATTAATGAATTATACATTACTTAATTAGGATTATCTGGGTTTAGGAAAAAGCTGTGAGGATCAATAAATGATTTATTTATTTAGTAGTTCTTTTAATGTGCATTTTTTTCTAAACTGCTGAATGCAAAATACTAATGCGAGTTTCCACACACATTTTATCTGACTTTTAAAAATAAAATTTTGATTTGGTCCAAGTATGTCGAACGTCTTATAAACTGGCTTGGGCCGCCCTGCATACATTTTATATTCCACACAAAACACGTTTTAAGACATTTCATTATTATTGAAATGCCACAAAAGTCGAGAGTTCGTGTCAAAAATTAATTTGCCTTGAAACAGCAAACTCTGGTATGACTGGTTGTTAATATCTAAGACATTAAAACAAATATTCCAAGTGCTACCCGATAAAATATACAATCGAGTACAATAAATGAAACGTTATTTAATTAGTTAGAAAGCCCATATTATAAGGAGTTATATCGATTGTTTCCTTATTAATGGGTACAGAGCACAGAACATGCCAGGGTCGGCCTTGAGCGATAATTGCATCTTTTCCTAAACAGTACATTACACTACGTTTGATTAAGTAAAGAAATAAAAATAGATTGCTATGGCTATGCGACGAAAAACAAAATTATGACGAAAATTACTCGTATATTGATGTTATTGATAAGTTTATTGGAGGTTAGTTTCCAGTATATATCCCGCACAGACGCCACTGGTAGAAATATTCTACATCAAATGCTAATGAATATACAGGGTGTCCGCAAAGTTGGGGTTTTCCTTTTCAGAAACAACTACCCTTGAAATAACAAAGGTAATGTGTAGTGAAACGAGGGCGACCAAGTAAAAAAAGGGAAAAAGTACTCACTCTCCAGTTGACGAGAAGGGCTAAGTACGTCTCTGCCCGAAAACATACCGCTCCAACAGAAAATGAAATCAGCTGAAGCGCTACCGAGCAGACGCAGGCAAACAAGGAAGGCAAAATGTTGCGAAAAAGTCTAGGTATTGCATCCCGTCCAATCGATTTGGGAGAATAAGTGGTCCAATGAGCATACCGTTCACCATGCCAGCCCAAACATTCACCGAAAATGTTTGTTGAAAATGTGCCCGACGGACAGCGTGTTGCGAAAGTTATTCACCCCATTACGCGTGAACGTAGATTCGTCTGTCACCAATATGCACTTCAAAAAGTCCGGATTATTGTCATGTTGATGCAACAACCACTGACAAAACTGGGCTTGTACACGTTGGGCGTGAAACAAATACAGCCCCTCTTCACGCAGCGTTTGCCACACTTTAGTTTTTGATACTTGCACTTCTCTAGCCACGTCTCTAGTGCTTGTTGAGGGATTCTCGTCTACGCGATTACCTCTACACGCGTGACCGTAACCGTCGGTTGAAGGTTGCATACTGACCTGACACACTGACCTCGACCCAGTTCTGTCGTCGGGTTGAGCTAATGTCCTAGTACCACTCGGGGATGTCGCGGCTACAGGACGGTATTCAGATATTTTTGATGTTGCAGAGCCCTTTATCTCGGTTCCCTTAAGACATTGGTGTATATGGTACTAAGAAAAATTGCTTATGTTTTCAAGATCTACACGATCAACTTTGCGGACACCCTCTATCCAGAACAATACATATTAAAGTTGTGATAAGAAAACGAATTTTTCTCTTGAAATTTCAACACCCTCTATAGCTCAAAAGTCAAGAGGTTTTGGGCGCATGTTCTCATAAACTTTTCTTCCTAAAATGACCTAAGGAATCATATCCTGTTTTTTTAGCCATCACTTAAATTAGTCTCTGTATTTCAATCCCAGCTGACGACTGATTTTAATTATGACACATCTCGCATTATAGATACAGAACAGTATTATACCCAGGTGGCCGATTCTATAGTAAAACGGTACGGTAAATCTTACACGTGGGACGTGAAGCTGCAAGTGATGGGCAAAACGGGCATTGACATGGCCAGGGCTGTGGTCGAACTGCTGGATCTTCCCATCACCGCCGAGGAGTACTACGAGCAAGCCAAAGTGGAGTTCCGCAACTTGATGCCAAAGGCGGAGTTGCTACCAGGTAACTATCGCCGTGTTTGACCCGCATTTTGGGTTGCAGATACCGAGGGCATATACAAGAATGTCATCGCCGACATCGCCAGGCGGTTCGGGAAGGTCTACACGCCTAAAATCATGGCCAAGGTTATCGGAACTCCGGAAAGGGAGTCCTCCAGGATAGCGGTGACGGAGATGCAGCTGCCGATGAGCGTCGACGATTTTCAAAAGAAGTTCAACAAGGAATCGCACGAGCAGTTTCACAATCTGCCGCTGATTTCAGGTATTTCGGCCTGACGCATCTTGCCTTCTTCTTCTTTCTAGATATTTTTTGAGCTAAAATAATACCGCGATAAAGACAATCCTCTACAAGTTGATCCAAAAGGGCTTCCCCTTCTGGCTCCTAAAGCTTTTGAAATCCATCTCTGATGGTAGGAAATTTCGGATCAAAATTAATAACAACAGGGTGTTCCTCCCGGTTCGGTACCGGTCAGTCGAGGTGGAAAAAGGTAGGGTCCAATAGTAAGACATTAACCACGCCAGCCCCAACATTTAATGGAAATCTATGTTGAAAATGAGTTCTTTTTACAGCATGCAGATAAACAGCAAGGTGAATACGAAAACACGAGCACGCAGTGATACGCGCGACGAACGGTGGCCTGAGTGCAACTCTGCCTGCCCTGCCCCTGCCCCGCGCATTATTCAGCCAGGCGACGGCTTGAAATTTAATGGCGAATTGACCAATAAGAGGCCTTGTCCCCACCTGTTACCGAGAGATCACGGGCTAACTGTTATTTACATCTCATCTTGAACGACTTTGGAACCGTTTGCGTATTGAACACTGTTGCCAATTTGCCCTCTATTTTGTGCTGTTGCCAAGCTGCTATTCGATTGATACTATTGACAGCTTCCAGGTGCTTTCGGTACTTCAATAACTTCCAATAATTCTTCCAAATCATCATCGCTAAACGATAAATGGTCCGACATCTTAAGCACAAAATCTTAAGCACTGATTCTTAAGAACACACAAAACATATGTATGGAACAGCAAGCACTAAAAAGCACAGGTGACAGATTTTCACAGAATAGGTTAAACACTTTAAACCCGAACAGAGGCAGCGGAAGATGAAATATCAAATGTCCATAACTATGCTATTGCGCGTGATGAGTCGGATCGAACTTTTAGTCTCACAAAAAATCTGAGAACTGTCAGGACCAATTCGGAATCAGTTCTGTACCAATTCGATATGATCCGCGAACACAGAACTGTAACTAAAAATTCAGAATTTTCTTACCGCGAACGCCGATTTTTGAAGTGCGCATGCGGAAGTGGTTCAGAATCATTCCGAATCGGAACCGCGAACGAAATTCTGGAAAAAATTGAACAGCTAACTAAAAATTGGTGTAACATCCACAGTCTTAACTAACTTGTCTATATCCATTATCCACATCAACTTGCTCTGGCAACCGGCGAGAAAGAACTAAATAATCATTCCGGCAAAACCGGTAACGCCGACTGCCTGCGCCGACAAGCCTGAGCCTGCCTCTATTGTGTTATTGCCAATTCTACAAGAAACTTAGCACTTAGTTGTACGTGTTGCCTAAAGGTCATGATTCTTCTTATCAATCTTTGGCTCTGATGTGATGTAAAATCTGTTTCTGAGATGGCATTACTCGAGGTCTAAGCTGTAAGTTGTGTGTGTTGATGATAGATAATCACATTGGATTCTTGTCTCAAATACACTTAATTGAGATTCAAAGCTAGAAATTAGTTGCGCATCCATTTTTCTTATCCATTCTGGAAATTACGTGTACAAATTTGCTGAATTCCAAAAATGAGAGAGATAAGAAGTAATTATATTCACTGTACACTGTCGAATTACAAGCCATATACATGCTAACAGTAATTACACACAACGCGGGCGCGGGGATGATTTCCCGTAATTCTCCTCATTTTTTCGTAATTCATAACTTTGAACATAACCTCTTTTCAGAAAGCACAACATGTAAATAACCCGTCATATTCAGTAATGATTTTCTCACACAGCATATATCACTGATTTTATACACATGCAGACCAATACACATAATCATCCAGATGCGATTTTGCTAATTAACCAACTTTCTACTTACACGGATCACTCAGCCTCACAAAACTATGCAACCAATAATGCATAGTTTAGTTGAGTGATTCCTCCATAGATGGACGTCCACAACGATCCTAGTGACAGTGAGCAAACGTGGAATTACTGTTTGCGCCCTAAAAACTACCTAGTCTGCAAGTTGACATCTTATAGATTTTTTTTGCCGTTTTATAGGTAGCTTTCGCCGTATTTTCGCCCTAGGGCTCGTAAAAGTAAGGTGCCAATTACTCTCTTACACCCCTGGTCCTTCTACGTTATATGTTTGAAATAACATTAGATTTCTCTTCATAGACGTATGACAAATATTATTTTGACTCCAACCTTAACGAATTAATTTAATTTGTTCTTGATTTCAGACTAAACAAAGAACAATTTCAGGTGTTGACAAGTTAATAAACCATTTCAAGTATATTAGAATTCCCATGGCGGTGGCCACTTCTTCTCATCGGGAAAGCTACGAGTTAAAGGCTAAACCCCATAACGAGCTATTCAAAGCCTTCAGTCACGTAGTGTGTGGCGGTGACGACCCAGAAGTTAAACGAGGGAAGCCTCATCCTGACATATTTTTGATGTGCGCATCAAGGTACGATAAATACAGAATTATGCAGAGCTTCTCATTTTTCCTTTACAATTTCCTCGCTATTCTTTTTTGTCAAGAAAATGGCATACATATGTTACTGTGTCTTGCTGTAAAAATTACCTTGCTTGACCTGATCGTGAGACGTACAGCATGAATCGTATTTTAATTCCAGGTTCCGCGATAAACCTAGACCTGAACAGTGCCTGGTGTTCGAGGATTCTCCAAATGGTGTAAAAGCGGCTAGAGCTGCAAACATGCAAACAGTTATGATACCCGATGAGAATGTGCCTCAAGAGCTTCGCAAAGAAGCTACAGTTGTTGTGAAATGCCTCGCTGATACGCCTTTAGAAGCTTTTGGCTTGCCTCCAATGGAAAATCGATAAAGTTGTGTAATATACGTGGCATCTTAGTACAAATTGTATAGTTTTTCATTAAATCAGAAGCGTGTTTATAATATATATTTTTCTTCCGACCACTTTCATTTATTATAGCTGGAGTCACCGTTCTCCATCTCCCTCATACATACACATGCAACCTACCCCTGGGGGTGAACGTTTGTTCGGTAAGCTCAAAGACATACGTTTTTTAGTTGTGTGTCTCTGTCTCGAAAACTTTGTCATTACGTATGAGTGCCCTTCAATCATATTTGTCAGAGTGACAACTTACTTGACATTGGCGCGCAATTTGAGTTGTCCTGTTATCATTCTTCAATATAAAATTGTACAATGCCCGGGAATACGATCAATGTAGAAGGCCGGCAGCTCGTGCTAAATTTATTAGTGTATTTCCTGGAAGAGAATTAAAACAGGGCTTCCCTGTTACCCACTTCATGTGTACTGCAGAGAGTAGCAGATGCGCTGAAGATTAAGATCCGCCTATGGCGCGAAGACTCGATCTGTTTACTTATTTCGTATGGCATTGATGACGTAACCGCCAAGAATGGTTACTACAACTATAGTCCTTACATTTGCGAGCATCTACAGTTATGGCGGACGAGTTTTAACCGTGCACGAGCGTTGAGATGGAAATGGAAGCAGAGGGAAGGATATTTTAAAGGTAATCAAATGATCTTCCATTGGGTTTCTTTACATACAATCAAATGAGAGACCGAGCACTAATGCGACGCGAAGCGAAGTGACGTTAAATTTCATGCGTGCGAATGCAATTCTCCGCGTCGCTTTGCGTTAGTGGGCGTGCAGCGTTAGAGATACATCGAGAAAACGGCGAATCCGTTAGAAAAACTATTACATTTTTTTTCATAACTGTCTTTGTGAGAAAGGAGCATGTCCCCATACGAAAAGTAATCCAACTTGAAAAATCAACCATTGAAAATTTGCTTTTCCATCCATTCAATGTTCGGCGGATAATTATGCTGAACAAAAAAGTGATTTCTGAAAGTTGATGTTTTAAAGTTCTAAACAAATTTTCACGGCAATTAAAAAAAAATTTGCAGCAACTCTTAAACCATACCCTGTGGTTGTCTCACTGATTATTATCAGCGTTATATTGACGTTTCAGCCACCTTAGTAGCCTTTTAATAAGAACAAAATTACAGTATACAGGATGTTTCCTAATGAAATATTCAACAGGGTAGTTTTTGGGTCCATTTTAAGTGTTCATTTGAGAGTATGTTTTAAACCTATTTTCTTTTGAGATACAGGGTGGTAAGGTTTTAAAGAATAAATCATCTCATCCATATTTGTAGTTCTACTTTTAGATATAATGTTTATTTGGCATACACATACTATGTATCAGGGGGCATTTTTTTAAAATATATTTTTTTAATTTCCACTATAGTACGGAATTTCATTTGGTCAGAAAATTGATGGTACAACACTGCTTTCTCTCAAAATAAATATTATTCATGAAAACCCCCCATTCCTAAGAAAATTTGCTTGATTTTTTTCAACCTGTATCTCAAAAGTTAAAATGTTTTCAAGACATATCATATGAAGTCTTTTAGTCTATCTTAAAATGAATCAAAAAATCACCCCTTTAAATATTGATATTCAATCAGGAAATAACCTGATTTTGTTATTCTGTCCTCCAATGCAGTCCTGTTTATTAGAATATATCAAATCTAAAAAAAAATGTTTCAAAATAACACCAAATTACACATGAATCATGGATGATATAAAGGAATTCAAACACATTCTGACATCCATTTGTCTGGCCCCTAGTGTTAATTTACTGTTGACATTCATTAGTGTATCAGAAATATTTTTACCAGACATTGATTGAAAACTCATTTAATTCCTGGCCTAGTTAAAATGTAATTACATACCAAAACTTTCCCATTATACAAAACAACATACTGACAAGTGTTGTTCTTGCTTTGATGTGTGACATATTGTGGAAAATTCTAAGCAAAGGTTACCATGGGATTCATTTCTGTACCTCGTAGCCAGACTAGGCTCCAAATAGGTAGTTCTGAGATAAATGTATTAAAAATATTTTTCTTGCATTATATTGTATGGGAAGTATTATTACAGAGAGATGGATGCTGCATGTAGCAAATGAAAACACAATATTATCGCAAGCTTAACATGTTAAACTCATTTTTGTCAAAAATGGACTTAACCTAGTCTGGCTCTCGGGTACAGATTTGTAGAATATAAAATACCAAATATTAGACTATTTTTTACTGAACAGAACCAGTGAAATATGAGTTATACAATTAATATCTACAAGTCTTTTTTCATTCTGCTTAAATCAATGTTCCTTTGCTGCTGTAGATATCCTGTTAAGGACGTCACTTGCTGATAAGTTACTCAGTGTTACCGCTTTTTCTTTACCTTGTTCTTAAAAAGAAAGACAAATTATATTGTGGAAATCAAATCAATAATCACATATTACCATATCTTGCCCACAGCCTTGGTTCAACACCAGAACATTCTCTGATTAAAATTGGGAATTTAGGGTTGTTACTCTTCAGTTCAACGTAATGTTTTTCGATAAATTCTCTGAAAAATAAGGTTTTTTTCATTATGTAACAATCTTGTAGCACTTTCATACCTAACGCCTTTACTGGCAGCACCCTTCTGGCACAGATGAATTCGCAGCTCTTTGAGAGCTGAACCGAATTTGATAGCAGCCGACATTTGGAGAAGTAAATTTCAAAAATCTTTAAATTATTTTTAAAATCGGTAACAAAAAAATTTCAAAATACTATCAGCTGATTGACAGTTGCTCTCGTTTCTCTGTCAAATGTCATATGACAAGTGAAATTTGAGTCAGCTGTCCACAATTGACTTTGCTAATGAGTCTAGCAAGCGGTAAGCGGTCCAACGTTGCCAAGCCTAATTTGCCAAGGATATGTATTTTAGCAAAATTATAAATTAGCAGTTGTTTCATTATAATGTCCTGTTGCAATGCAAGACTAGTTGAGAAATATATTGACTTGCATTTCATAATTAACGAAAACGATTGAATAAATGATAACTCTGAAAGTACTATCAAGATTTTTATGAAATGTTGACGCTATTAAAATGACGAAGAAAACTATGCAGTTTTTGAAAATCGGTACAGTGGAGGCGAAGCTATCGTCGAAAAAACAAACAAAAAAAACAGTCAAAACTCGTTATTCGACATTTCTGAGGCTTCTGACATACTTAAGTTTTGGTCGCTGAAGACATATCTGACATTATGTTTCGGCGCTCGAAAAAATTGTTTCATCGTTCATTTTGTATAATTGTTCCTTCAGTTGTAAAGGTTCAAGCGCGACACTGACACCGATAATAGACGTTGGCGCCACCATGCCAGTTGATCCCATCGTGTAGGAGACACTTGCCAATTGTGGGGTGTCGAACGTTGTACACAACATTGGAAGGATCGTGTGGGATCCGAATTATCATCAGCCACACACAAAAACTAAGAGTAGCACCTTCGATCCCTCTTTAAGTGATAGCTCCGTTCGAAGCAGAAAAAATTGCGTAGAATTGTGACTAGACTGGCTAATGGCAAGAATTTGAACTTCAAAGTCCGGTGTTACCGTGCACAATTTGGCAACGTGCAATAAATTTCTTTATACCCGGGTCTAGACAGATAGACAACTCAAAAGGTCAATAACATGTTTGGCATCTGTTGCAGTTGCACTTCTCCGGGTGTTGTTCCGTGCGTCTTTCTTTTTGTGGTGCTCTCTTGACGTGTGCGGACGTCTTTGACCCTCAGTAAAATAAATCCAAGTAATCCACAAAAATGAGGATTTATAAAGATATTTTCACTGGTGAGTACAATTTCATATTCATTTTTCCGGTCATAAACATGGTTATTTCTGTATTTTTGAGATAAACGGCCGAATTATCAGCATTTTAGTATCCATCTGTCAGACAATGACATTGACAAATATTAGTCACAATTTTTTGGATTCAATGTAACAGCAAAGTATTTTTTACGATGAATCCTTTATTTCAGGTGACGAGATGTTCTCAGACACCTACAAAATGAAACTAGTAGACGAAGTGCTATACGAAGTGTATGGTAAACTTGTCCAACGTAAGCACGGAGACATCCAAATCGATGGGGCCAACCCTTCCGCGGAGGAGGCTGACGAGGGCACCGAAGATGCCGTAGAATCCGGCGTCGACATTGTTTTAAACCACAGATTATGCGAAACCTACGCGTTCAACGACAAGAAGTCTTATACAGCCTACTTGAAGGACTACATGAAAAAGTAAGTAATAGTGGAGGAGTTTGAGCTAGATGTGACCTACACAGACATCAAAATTTATTCTCATATTGAATAAAACATTGATCAGCTATAACGTTTTTATTTTATATAGATGTTGCCAGTATTAGACAGTTGTAATTGAATAAGAAAATATTTTGGATTAAGATTCTGTCAAATGTTTATTACTGCAATGCTACAAATAATGCTATCTATATTTTTATCATTTCTGACATCATGAATAAACATTACTGAAAGAAAACTTGAGTGAGAAAAAACAGGATCCCAATATGATAGACTTGTAATTTAAAGTAAAGCTGTTTTTGATAAGATTGTTTTTGTATTTTTTAATAAGCAGTATAACTATGTTTGAAATATATGCTTATCGAAATTTGTGACAATGTTAATGATACATGTAAATATTGGCAATGAGATATGTGTACCTTATTTACAGTAAAATATTAGATTTTTATTTAACATTTATTATTAGATTTTATCGATAAAGCATGTACTGATACCAAATACCACAAATGTTATTGTGCTATTTGGAGCATTTCATGCAAGATGGATGAAAGTATAAGATTTAGAGATGTTATAAAGTTTTGTTTGTAACAGTATTCTCCATACTTTTGACAATCATTCTTACTGGGAATATATTTGTAATCATATACACAATGTAGATTCAACATTTATTTTGATGACATTCTCCTTTAAAGATTCAACAGATGTAAATACTAAGAATCTTTTCAGTATCTTTTTTAACTTTTTAAATGCAAGTTTAGAAAACAAAATGCTGTTCTTTCAAACATTGAATTTGTGACAGTCCCAAATGGCCATTAACAGTGGAGTACATTGGTTCAGCACATAGCTATCATATCATTAATTTGTATGGATGACCATATTTTATAGTTGCTGATAAACTGAAATTCATTGGTTCTCCTAAATGCTAATGTATGAGAGATGTCTTTTCAGTTTTGCAAATGGAAAAAATAAATGGTATGTAGTTTTAAATGACTTTATTGTTTTTCGAAGTATTCTCCACGAAGATTAATAAACATCTGCATGCGCTCCAACCAATTTTCAAAGCACTTATTCCACTCATTTGCTGGCATTTTTAAATGCGTCAACTGCTTCTTCTGGTGACTGGAACCTTTGACCACACAGTCTGTTTTCAATTTTCGGGAAAGTAAAGAAATCGTTAGGACTTAGATCGGGACTATATGGAGGATGGTCTAATAATTCCACGTTTTCTTTCGTTAAACACTGCCTTGTTTTTTGGGCTGTGTGCAAGCTTGCATTTTCTGGGTGGAGGATGATTCTTCTTTCGGGGTTGATTTTTCGAAGCTTGGTGATGAATTTTGGCAAACAAATGGTGGTATACCAATCCACAGTAACAGTTCTTTGGTCATTAAGAGGAATTGTTGCAATATGACCCGCTTTTGACACAAATGTCGCGACCATCTTTTTCGAAACACTTCGAGAACGGATGACTTTTGTTGGCTTTTCTTCACCTTGGAACACCCAAACATCCGACTGTCGATTATGTTCTCGTTCATAACAGTAAATCCACGAATCATCACCACTAACAATGCTGTACACATTTTTTGAGTTTTGGGAATTGAAACGGTCAAGCATTTTTTGACACCAATTAACCATGGCTGCTTTCTGCTCTTCAGTCAGCAGGTGGGGTATCCATCGAGAAACTAATTTTCTTACTAATAATTTTTCATGTAAAACTTTTTGAATTGAGGTCTTTGAGATCCTCAAGGACGCCTCAATCTTGTGATATGTCACATGTCTATCTTCAATGAGTTTGCGCACAGCATCGACGTTTTCCTGGGTGACTGCCGTTTTTGGTGCACCCACCCTGGGATCGTCGCTAAGACTCACCCGTCCACGTTTGAATTCTCCATACCAACGGGAAATTGTCGACTGATGTGGCGCTTCGTTGCCGAAAACAGACAGTAACTCAGCAAGGCATTCTTGTTGCGATACTTCTCTGAAAGTTGCAATAAATTATGGTTCTTGTTGAGTTCCATTTTTCTAATGACTTGACTCTTAAAAATTCACTGTAGTGAGAACACTTTGAACTTTGAATTTAAGTTTACTAAAGTGTGAGGTTAAGATTCAGTACTGACGTTCGATCCGCGTGGCCTACTATGTTTCTATATGCAAAACTTAAAAGACATCCCTCGTACACACTGTTCCACATAATTCTTGACTTATATAGTTTGAAATGTTAAACTAAAGGGTTTTCCATTAAGGACTTGACAACTTCCTTTTTAAATAAAAAGCAAACCATTTGCGATATCTCGAAAATTTTATTATTGGATTGAAAAATACCCAAAACTTTTATGTATGGAATTTGAACTCGTTCATATGTCCACCTCAGCTTTGTTCACATTGATCAATCGTTGAACCCAATTTTCAATGACTCGGCCACACATTACGACAGAAATGACTCGTGGATCTGAGCTCCTCTAAAGACGCTGGCCTGTTGGCATAGGCCAATGATTTCATGTACCCCCACAAAAAAAGTCTAGAGGTGTTAAATCGTACGATCTAGGCGACCATTCGACAGCACCATTTCTCGATATAACAGGTTCACCGAATGTTGATTTCAATATGTCGATTGTTTCACCTGCTGTGTGGCATGTGATACCATCTTGTTGAAACATATCATATATATCTAGCCCATCCGTAGACTGTAACGCAAAAAATAGCCCAATGACACCACCAGCATGAAAACCACACCATACAGTTATTTTTTGTGGCCAAAAATTGACATTAAGGCTCTTAAAGTTGCACCTACCGACTATGAACTTCGGTAGTAAATTTCAAATATTCATAAATGTTCGTTCATGTACTTCACCATGATGAAAATGTTTTCTTTACTGAATGTTTTGACATTGACAGTTTGGTAATTGATGCGTTCACAGTGAAAGTTTAAAGTTGTCAAGTCCCTTTTGGAAAACCTGGTACATGCCATAATAAGATTACTTTTACGTTTTTAATAATTGATTATTTTTTGTTCTCTTTCATTCCAGATTGGTAGCTAAACTAGAAGAAAATGCACCTGACCAGGTGGAAATATTCAAAACAAATATGAACAAAGTAATGAAAGACATCTTAGGTAGGTTTAAAGAGCTCCAATTCTTTACTGGTGAATCCATGGAGATTGACGGAATGGTAGGTCTGATGGAATACCGTGAAATCAACGGTGAATCAGTTCCAGTCATGATGTTTTTCAAACATGGATTAGATGAGGAGAAGTTTTAGTCTGATTTTTTAATTGTAATATTAATATTGTTATTACTTAATTTATATACAGCATGTACTTTGATTTTTACATTTGTCGCTACAAAATTATACTTCATATTCCATATATTTGGCTGTACGGAATTGTCCTGCAAGAGAGAATGTTTATATATCTGTGAGATTAAAACTGATTTTCGTAAGACACGAGTTTAATTTCATATCCTTTGGAGACCATTACATGAGGGCTCTAATTATCTAAACCAGGGCTGTCCAACTTAATGTGGCCCAAGGGTCACTTCAAAAAAAATGCAGTTTGGAGGGCCGCATTATAAAATCTTTCTTACATTATTAAGGTGAGATGTCATGTCTGTTAAAAATGCAAGGTCTGCTAAAAATTGTGCATCTGCCATTTGATTTTCCAGTTCCGTAGTGTCGGACTTCACTTCATTTTTAAGGAAAATAGGAATTTCCTTGCGTAGAGCGAAAAATCGTTGCAAACACTGTCCGGCGCTTAACCAACGAACATCGGTGTGAAGTAACAAGTCCCCATATGTAGCATCCACTTCAGCAAAAAATCACGAAACTTTCTGTGAGTCAAAGCACGATTGCACCCTCTAACAATATTAGTTATTTTAACAGCCACTTTCATGACATTTATTTAACATAAAGATTTTCCACATAAGCTCTCTTGGTGAACAATACAGTGTATCATAGGACAGTTGATGCTGTTTTGTTTCAATAGTCCTGCAAATACAGGAACATTTATCAAATCCCCCGTAGTCTGACACCAACTTATTCACAGCTTCAAAAATATCTGTACCCTTGGTGGTACCATGGAGAGGAATAAGGTCAAGCATCTCCTCTGCTACACTGAAGTCGTCTTGAATAGTTCGGATAAAAATTACAAGCTGGCTAATGTCAGACAGATCTGTGCTTTCATCCAGGCATAGCGAAAAATATTTACATTTTTCAACCACGTCACGCAATTTTTTGGATACATGTTCATTGATATGGTCCACCATTCTTGCAATTGTTTGATGCGATACTGAGACTGTTTCAAATTTTTGGGCAACTTTTAATTCATTGAATTGTTTCGCCATTTCTATTGCACACTTTTTGATAAACACTCCATCACTAAAAGGTTTTTTGCTTTGGCAATTTCCAGCGCTATTTTGTAAGAGGCGGCAATACTGCACTTGTTATCAGAGTCAGATTTTTTGTCCTGGTACCAGTCGGGGATGTCGCGGCTACAGGACGGTATTCAGATATTTTTGATGTTGCAGAGCCCTTTATCTCGGTTCCCTTAAGACATTGGTGTTTATGGTACTAAGAAAAATTGCTTATGTTTTCAAGATCTACACGTCGTGTAAAGGAAAACCCCAACTTTGCGGACACCCTGAATTGAAGTAAATAACTGAAAAGAGAACGAAAAAACAAACAAACCTTAATCTTCATTTTCTGAAGACTCATCATTGACGTCACTGATGAACTTTGCGTTGTTTATTTGATGATTGTCTAGTCATTTTCAAATCCTAACACTCTGAATCCGGCCCTGTCGAACTATTTTCGTTGATCCTTTGACGACGCCGACTGCTGCTGTTCACGGTGTGTTCATTGTAGGTTTACATATTTAGTATTAATGCCACAATATCGATGTTACACAGTATGTCACAATATTTTACGTCTTCAAATTTACATATTTTTATTCAAAATTTCACTACTATGAATCCCGGTTTTCCATGGAATATTCTTCCGTTTCCCTTTGTTTTCAAGCCGGCACACATCTTGATATCATTACTCAATTTATTAAATTCGTGCAATCTTTTTGAAATCCTCATTTGTTTGTTATATTGCTACCACAGTTTTGTAAATGACTAAGGTACTCATTGTTTGCCAAATATCATTGAGACATTCGTTTCACCAGACTATTTTTGAAGGAATCTGTGGTTAAGGCGGCGTTACACTCTTTGTAGAGGTTATAGGAAGGTTCACAGTGACAAGTCTTTTTTTATAGTAAACTAAATTGTATATCACTCAAAACTAATTAGTTAGGGGACATTTTACAGGTTTTACCTCCTGTTTTCACTATAATAAAGCTAAAAAAATCACCCGCAAAAAGTTGAATTAACAACTTTAACGGTATTCGTAAAACCTGTAAAAGTTTCACCATAGCTTATAAGCTTTTAGGGAGCTACGCGAGGGTTTACACGATTTAGTTGGTATCAACAGAAAATTGTCAGTGCGAAATTGAAATTTTCCTAACTTTACTACCTTGCGCACTCCGCCTTTATCCCCAACAACGTCGACTGTCAAGGTTTTTGTCAAATAAACTTGCGAGGCATTAGCCTATCATCAGAATACATTCTCCGGGGCGTATTTTAGTTTGATGGCGATAAGTGCCAGATTTTTTATAGTAAATTGTTGAGTGAAACGCAATTTAACAGTTAGCATAGCTTTATTATTCCTTTGATATACATTCAGATTTCTCACATAGAGTACAGTTATCAAAATAAAATTTACCTATACTGTTTTAACATAACATATTATTTCAATGAAAATAAAATATCTAAAAACTAAGATGAATTAACTATGTACTTGCTTTTGTAAAATTCTATATATTTACAGCTTTGGGAATCTATAAGGAACTAAAATACTTTCTTTGGCATAAAATAAATACTGTCTACTAGATTAACTTGGAAATCTTGTTTCAAAATCATGAAAATCGTTGAGGATGTTTCACTCAAAAATAATATCTAATGTATTTTGTGTTGAAAGATAAATATAGCAAAATATCGTATAAAGCTTCTTTGGCATGGATAATAATACTGAAATAAATAAAATTTTAAAACTCGCAAACCATATTAATATTTTATAATTGTTCATTTATTTTGAATTGCTTTCAAACTTCATAGTACGTATTTTGAACGTGTTTGTTCACACAAATATGCAACTTGAATGTTTCAACAAATGAACCGTAAACGAATGTCACACGATCAATATCGACGGTAATCCTACAGTATTTATCATGGAATGTGGTATCTATGACGCACTTATACCCTATTTCACGAGAATCTCTCACGCTTTGACGTCTACTGAGGTGAACAGCTGATCAGCAAGTTACTTTTGTGTTATCCTGCAACGTTTGCAATAATGAATCGGGGATAAGTCTAGTAAAACTAGTTTGGGGCGTTTTGTTTTTTGTATGCAAATGACCTTTTCTAATTAAAAGATCTGTTAACAAGTACAAAATGAATCTGTATCGTACAAAAAACCAAAACAACCGTCAGAATTATGTGTCCTGTGCCGATATGGGGAATTTTGAAGTATTACTGGATAACCAGCTGTCATTCTACCATGATGGATACTCGTGAAATAGGGTATATGTGTCCATTTATTTGAAAACTTGGCGAAGTGATGAAAATGAAAGAAATTCATTAGCTATTTCGAATTATAAGTTAAAGAACTTTGTTTAGGCTACTTTTGCAATGGCAGACCATCAAACTTGAAGTTTGTGATTGTGTTGTGCGTTAAAAAATTTCGAACATTGGAGTATGAATCACAATAAAGAGAATAAAATTCCAATCGATATAACAGAAGTAGTCATTGTTTTCATGTACATTGTATTTAACCGATTTCTATTTTTACATTCTCTTTTTTTGTCTGAACTCGTATGATATTTATTTTGAACTTGCCCTTGAAATGACCGTCAAAGGCCCTCATAGTGACAGAGTCAGATTTATAGACATTCCTTGAGGCTTGTTTCCTTGGAAACAATGCATTTCTCCTTGGAAACAGTGAAACAATGACGCTTCCTTGACGTTCAAAGTAGAATTTACATTTTCATTTGACAGTAGTATGTAACAGTTGACATCACAAGTTGTCAACGACGCCAGAAAGATTTTTGATGATAAAACTGGTACAGTTTGGTTGATCTAAGCTAAATATCAATAAATAATGCAATATAAAAAAGTGTTAGCTTCCCCGAATTACAGTGCAATCGCGGGGAAGTGAAAAAACAGTATTTCACAAAAAAGCATATTTTATACCGAAGTTTTTTATTATAATTTATAATGCGCGACTATGAAAAAAAAAGAAGTTTAGCAAAAATATGCATATGATCGAGATAGTAGACAAATTTAAAGGTATAATTGAACATAAAAACAGATAGCAGCTGTAGAGCAGTTCGGTGCAACTGGTTGCCTATATTCAGTTTTTTAGTCCTCTGTGATTGTGCTGTAATTCGAGGAAGCAAACATTATTATTTTACATTATTAATATTTAGCACAAATAAACCAAATCGTTCTAAATTTATAATCAAAATGCTACATAGCTACAGACACCAAAGAAAATTTATTTGACGTCAATGACAACTGTTACAGCCTACTGTGAAATGAGAGTTTAACTCCTCCCTTGAACGTTCCTCAAGGAAGAGTCATTGTTTCACATTTTCCACGGAAGCCTCAAGGAAAGTCTATAAATCTCTTATTGACTCCTGATTCAGACTCAGTCAGCAGAAATCCCTAAACCACGTTTGGTTACGCTCAAAAGCGCGACTGATTTTGAAAGTGACCAGGATATGACCTTGAAGTGACCTTCAAATGCGCTGTTAGAAACAAAACAAACGCAGATTTGAAATCAGCGATTAAAAAACATTGTAGAAATTGTAATTTTTACCAGGTTGTTGATATTCTTCACCACTGTGTGTCTGAATGTTCGGTAAATACTGATGGTACGGCCCACAGTAAATACTGATCGTGTGCCATTCGCCATACACAAATTGACTGATTTGTGTGAACGTTTACATTCACTACCAATCGGTGTCTGATGCAAAGCTTGGTATGGCAGGCCATCTTGATTGTCAGTCCGTCTAGATAACATTCAGAATCCGAGATAAAGCATATCCTACAGAGCGCCTTGCTTCAGCCGCTGAGTGTCAGTGTATGCAGAAAATATTATTTGATTATTTTCTATTTTGACAGAGCTCCGTTTAGTTAAAAATAACACTGTATATACGGATATGGAAAGTCCTAAGTTGCCAACTAGAGATAAAAATTCACGATCAACATTAACCAACACTCCATATTATTTTTCACAATTTAATAAAACTCCACAAACTGTGCACCAAGCTGGTAGAAAAGTAGGATTCATTTTTAGCGAGAAGACACCAAGCTGGTACAAAGCCTTCTTTTTTCAATTTACAACAGGTCAAGTTGATAATCGCCCATATTTATATGGCAAATAGAAACGACACAATACACAAATACAAAAGATGTATTCATAATTTCAAGCATCCGCGTCGATGAGAACAAAAAATAGCTTAATAGATGAATTGTATAATCTGTCTTACAGGCACTTTGCAAACATATCAAAAATTTCAAGTAAAGTGAAATTTCCCTATATTATTCTATATGTAAATAAAAGTTATGAACAAGTTTTAAAGCCTAGAAAATAATTTGTCTACTATGCGACGGTAGTCTGAATAGTTTTCTACCTCAACGTGAAGCACTGATAGATAAAAGCTAGTGAATTTCGTTGTTTTTTGGGATAGTCATGGAATTATTTTAATCGATTATCTTCAAAAAGAAAAAACCATTACAGGAGCATACTACGCATCATTACTTGACACGCTAAAGGCAGAGGTTGCGGAAAAACGGCAACATTTGCAGAAAAATAACGTTTTGAACTGAATGACCAATCCGCCTTACTCACCAGATCTAGCCCCAAGCGACTTCGCGAAGAGGCAATCACCTTTGTGAACAATTATTTTATTACTACTATTTGGAGTTGCAGAGATGGGAGCATCGCTAAGAGAAGTGTGTAAAGTTACAAGGAGATTGTTGAAAAATCTGAAAAAATGTCTTGTATCTTTTTTAGGTCGGAAACTTTTCAGACCACCTTCGTACAAGATGATTATTTTTCAACAATGTGTCTATTAAGGAAATATTATTTTGATAAGACGCAAAAAGTTGATCCAACAATTTATCAACTTTGATTTTCCTCATTCCAAATTATCGTATAATTATATTTAAAAATGAGAGTATAATTCTCTAATCATCCTGATTATGATAAAAAGGAAACTTTCAGCATTAATCTGAATTATAAATCACATTTATCACCTAATAAACTACTAAAATGCAATATAATATAGTTAGATCGCTAAAATAAAATTGGAAAATCTATATACACATATCACAAAAAATACCTTTTTCCATACTTCTACCAATAGAAAAAATCTCGCTAGTTGGAAGAATTTTAACATGAAAACAGCTGGTGATTTAAATATTTCAACTATGGTGTGAATATATATTTATAGAAATATCTTAAATCTTGCTACGGTTTATATCGATTCATATACTTTTATTCTTTGGGGTCATTTATCACTACATGAAGGGTCACAAAGGTACCTTAACATTACGTTTTAAATTCAGATAGCGAAATCACATCAAACAGTGACATAATATACCAAAGTCAGAAGAAGCTTGTGTTACAAACAGACATTGAGAACACTCTGTTCAGATAGCGAAACTTGCAGCGAACCTTTTTAAGCATACTCGGGCAGCACTGCATAGGACATAGTTTCTCACGAAAATTCGGACTGTTCAGCATGTGCATCAGCTGCAGAAATCTCAAAGATATTGACATATTCAACCTACACTAAAACATGAGGGACATGGCTGGGATATACAAAACAAGAGAGCCCAAACAAAAAAATCGTAGAAAAATGGAGACTATATAGAAAAATAACTGAAAGATCAACGTTTCCAATGGTAAGTTCGTTTTTTCAGATAAAAAATTCCTTGTGCCTGAAAAAATGTGGGTACCATATTTTTAAGACAACCCTCGTATTTTAATGCTTATTTTCAATTCCAGATAAATGACGAACGTGAGGTAAGAATGTTAAGTGCGACTGTGTTTATACGAGGGGCAATAAAAAAGAAGTCTACCTAACCATGAAAGCACAAGCATAATGCGTCACTTGCGAAATTTGAGTTAAATTTGATAAACAGTTTCTCATCTATAAAGTGAATTGTGAGGAAAAATTGGTAACTCAAAATTAGGGTGTCGCAGTAACATAAAATTTCTGACAAAAGAGGGCATCAGCCGAAAACAATTTAAGGGGTAATAGTTGCCGTCGATGGGGATGCTGCACCATCATATTACACAAAAAAAATGTGGTAGAAACAGTTTCGATGGGGGAGTGAATTCATAGAATGGAACAAATGATGAATGACTCCAAAAGTTGAAGCCATACTTCTCAAACTGTGGACACTAGTGCTGCCCGGGTGCTTTCTTAGAAAACGCTACTAAAGAGTGGCAGTTTCAAGGGGAAAAGCAAAACAAGTCAAATATCTTAACTCATGTTTCACAGTTAAATAACCAAACGGTTTGACAAGCGTGCGTTTATTCCAATGTGGTCATATGCTCGTGTACATTTTTCCGATACCAGCTATACTCGATTGATTCTTCTTGAGCATCTATTTCACTTCTTCTGACATGAATGTCTCCCATACGGAGGGACATAACGAAACTACGTCTACTGATTTAGTATTTAAAAAGTCGCCTTTCATAGGAAGATGTTTGATAGCATAAATGTCAGAAACATATGTCACGTGATATAAATTCCCATAAATTGGAGTTCACAAGAAAGTACATAGTTTTATTCAAAATTTTGATATGAATTGATGCCATATTTTATAAGACTATTAAAGACGATTCACATGTTTCAAGATCCATTCTGAGCCATATTTGTAAATACTACTTCTACCAAGATTTCCGGAAAATACGAATAAAAAGTTCGGAGTCTCGTGTCAAGGCGTTGTGGAGGGGTGGCCCGGTGGTTGCATCTTCCTATGCAATCTTAAAGACCGTCAATTGACAGTTAGAATGATAGCTGAACGACTGTCAATCCCCAAAACAGTCGTCTACGAAATTCTGACAGAAAAACTTGAAATGGAAAAATTGTGCGCGTGAACCATTCCGAAGTTCTTAACTCCAGAACAGAAAGCAAGGAGAGTTGATTGCTGTGAGGATTGGTTGGAGACGCGGTTCTACGAATTCGATGTGGAGCTGAAATCTCAATGCATGGAGTGGAAGCAAGCAGGGGAACCGATTGTGAAAACAATGTTGATTGTTTTCTTAGATTCTCGGGGCATTGTTCAGCAGGAATTTGTCCCTCCCGGCCAGACAGTGAGCGGAAATTTCTACGTCGTCTCAGAGCTCTTGTGGCCCGACCGGATTTGGTACAAGGGGGCAGGTGGATCTTTCATCACGACAACCCGCTCACGCGTCTCGTTGTGCGTGACTTTTTGCCTGACTTATTCACCCGACTTAGCCTCTTGCGACTTCTTTCTGTTCCCAAAATGCAAAATGATGCTTCGGGGGCGACGCTTGGGGGTTGCGGAGGCCATCAAGGCAGAAACGACCCGGCCAATGAAGAGCCTCACAATTGAAGACTTTCAGCGATCGTGTCAACAGTGAAAACGGCGTTGGCAGAAATGCATCTTGGCCCAGAGGAGGAGACGATATTGAAATACCTGAACAATTGTAAAATAAAGTCATTATTTCACTGTTATACGTATTTTCTGGACAAACCTCGAATAACTAAAAAGAGATTAATGAAAAATTAAGAACTTTGCCTCTGATAATTTTGCATGAAAGAAATACAGGGTTAAAGTGGATGACTTAGGTAAAAAAAATTCAAGAATTAATATATGTACACTATACACCATCTTAAAACCATAAACGCGCAAAGAAATAGTTTCGTACAAAAGTTTAATGATAAAAAACACTTTTTCCAGAAATGTATTTCTGATGCAATTGCAAGTCCTGTCTACTGGAGACTGTCTTGTAAATTATTAACTTCAGCTACAAAAATATTGTTGCACAGCATTACGAACTCTAGAACCTTTCCTTTAGAGCTGGCAGCACATCTAAAAACTAGGGATACCACATTTCTGCTCAACACAGATCAATACTACAATGGCCTGAGCAAGAATTCGAAAACTTTAAAGCAATCTACATCTGAATGATTATTATATGCGGTATTAGAATGAGAAGATTTTTCAGAGTGAGAAATAAGAAATTTTTGTATGTTCCTGACATTCATGACTTCTATCATACATCGGTTACATGTCTTATAGTTAAACATGAGTTTAGAACACCGGCGATAGATTAAGCGTCAAATTCTGTATGGTTTTATTTCTGACAGCGGCCCTGCTGGCCCTGGCTGACTCGATGATTTGCAACACCATCAGACGGCAATCGTGACAGACCACCATCTGCTGGGCGCCTTTCATGCGATCGACAGCTCGCGCGGCCCTACCTACCGCTGTTGCTTTTGTACGGAACCTATATAATAAAGAGACAGCAAAGAGTAGTTACAGGTTATTTACTGAAACAAAGCAGTTACGTCATATTTAGTAAATTTGAATGCCAGCCTTAATGCAACTTAGATCCTAAATTGGTACGTATAGTTTGAATTTCCGGGGTGCATTTACGTTGGTAACAGTTTTCCGAGTTGTGACATTGTCGCAAAACTGGTCAGGTAATTACGCTAAAGGCTGTTGTTTATTTGTGGTTAATTTCCGCTCTTTTTGACTGAATTTTTGCATTGTTATTTTAAACTTTGAGGTGTCCTTTTAAGGATTTTGCTAAAATGCCGAAACCTCTAGGTTTCGCCATTTGTTTGACGAAATGTCTTGAGACCGAACGAGATACGATAAAAACTGGTCACATCTTACGTATTTTGTGTCGATCACAATGTACTTCTCACAAAAAAATTGACGCTCCTTACCCGTGGATACAATCGTTTTTGAGTGACAGAGTCCCTACGTCTCTAGGGCAGAGAAAGTAGATAATGTGATGAATGAGAATAAGTTATGGTAACAGTTGTCGATGTAGGTGTACCACAGGCGTCCGTTCTGGGGCCGATTTTTCAATTTTTAGATTTTCTAGGAAGTTTTTAGTAACTTTTGTACAATAAAGTTTATATCTATCTTCAATTCGTTGTGAAGCTATTTGAGTTTATAATAATATTCTAGAAATTGTGATAATAAGAGTCTATATCGTAAAAATAATAATCAATACAGTTTCCATATGAAAAAGACTTTAAAATTAAAAACAAGTCCTAAAGTTGAAAAACGCTTTTTAGCGACACTTCGCCTTTTTATACTTTGTATAAATAAAGCCGAATTATTATTATTATAAAGTGTTAAATAGAAGAAAGGATTAGTATCTTTGCTGTTATAAAAAAAATGTATACATCTTCGGATGAAGAAGAAGCACTATTGTTTTTTGCAATGGAAGAACATTATTCAAAGAAAAATAATTTTTATATCTAAATATAATTAGCGTGAATACACATCTTATTGTAAGAAAAAAGAAAATAGAATCACAAGAAAGACGAGAAACGATCCTATATTTATTTTAGAATAATATTTTTCTCTTCGCCTCTCCTCCTATTTTAGTCCAAACTTTACCCTTTTTGCGAACATTTTTATACTTTTTATGGAAAATGTCATGGAATATAGGGTACTTTCGATCTAATTCAATAATCTGCTTCATTTTATTTCCCAAATTTATAACGGTGCGAAATTACTGTACATCCTACAAAAACGCAGCTGTTTGTGAATAAATACGCAGACAAAACGAAGAAAACCGTACTAGTTTAAACCTGTGTGTTTACCGCAGTGAAAACAAGATGCTACGGATCGTATGTGGTGCGGATATGTTACTAGAAAACACACTTTTCCAGGATCCATACGCCGTGATAAAGAAAGTCCCAACTTTGAGTACACTCTGTAAAATTATTAAACTCACCTCGGCTGAGTATCGCTTCCGATCGACGTCGTACTGCCGTCCATCGCCGATCCCGGCCTACTATCCGCTGGGCTAGCCCCGCCCACCGGCGTCTTCGCTCCGCCTACCGGCGTACCAGCCCCTCCCGCACTTCCGGACGGCGTCCGCCTTCCCGGCTCCTCCCCTTCGGGCGTTCCCAGCACGCTGGGGCTGAGCAGCGCGACCGGGACAGCGGCGAATTGTTCAGGCGGCACAGAGGCCCGGCGACAGCAACGGGCGCATACGGTGCGACGACACAGCGAGCAGCGGCGGCCCCATGGCCCGAAAATGCCGAAACGGGTCTTCAAACAGAGGAAGCACACCTTGCGGGATTCGACATCGTGACGGACGCGACCTGGAATTGAATCGGTCAATATACAGGAGATGTAAACAGATGACCATAATATAATATTACACAACTCTGACTGCCTACCTTCAACTGGTAGCGCTTCCAGCTCCGCCTTAGTCAAAACCGTACGTATATGCACGATTTCCGAAAGAGTCAACGACAACCTGTCATCCAAAGATATCGAATCCTGCCATGTTTGAGAGCAAGTTAGCTCGTCTTGAATTTGTTTGGCTACATCAGCTTCTAGTTGCACAGACTCCGTTTCGGAACTGTTGCACGATTGTCGTGATCCCGGCCTCGACTGCGGTACTGAGTAACAGCCTGTGAAAAAAAATATTTTTTAGACAGTTTTATCACTCCATGTTCATCCTCATCATATGAGAGGGTTTCTTTGATAAGTATAAGTCAAAAAACTAAAAAAATAAATCTATAACAGACCTATATTGGCGTCGAGCACCTCCAGCGTGCTCCTCCTCCTTAAATCCCTTCCACCTATCTCCGGCGTTGCCAAATCGTACGGTTCCAGCACGGAATCACTGATAGACGCAGGTCCACACTCTCCCGCCCACAACCCGGGCTCCAGCGACGTTTCTGGCGTCTCCAATTGGTCGAACATGTCTAGGTCATCGTCGTCGTCGTCGTCTGCGTCCAACTGGCTGAAGTCCACTTTGATCAGTTTGCGTACCGCCGGTTTTGGAGGGGAGGTGTCGGTGACGGCGGTCGCGTTGATCGGCATCGGCGATACCACAGAACGGGAACTCCTAAATATGCAGAGGAAAATAAACTCGATCTGCATGGTGTTCGAAAAGTAGGAGATATTAAAGATGTTAAAAAATAAGAAAAAACGTTCCTATAAACATGGGTCCGAAAATGCAGAGTTTCCAAGGTACAGGGTGATAAATTTAAAAAAAATGTTTTTTTAGCAAATTTTAATAAACCAATTTTGTCCAGTGACATGCGATAAAACGGTTTTTTTTTTTCTTGAAAACACAGTGAGATACGAACAAATAAAAGAAGCAAAGAAGTTGTATTTTTAGATGCTTAATCAAACAACAAATATTAAAGTTCCAAAAAGGGCAGTCGCGTACATTTTTTGCCAATAATGTTCGCTAAGGTAAGGACACCACTGGACCGTTGTTGAAAAAGTCTTTGAAGAAATTATTTACGAACAGATCATCAATTTGTTGAGGGAAATAGAATTTTAACCAAATTTCAAGCTGGATTCAGGAAGAAACGGCAATACAAATGGTTTTAGAGGATGAATGGACAATAGGAAATATACAGTGACAGTGTTGTTGGACTTCAAAAGGGCGTCTGCAACTATTGGCACCTATAAATTACTTACATAATTGCATCACTACGGATTTAAAGGATCTGTATTTCAAAATTCTAAAAACTACTTAATTGACAAGTCAAAAAACCAAAATTGGATCTACATTATCAAGCACAAAAAATATTTCTGTTGGTGTACCACAAGGTAGTAAACTAGGTCCACCACTATTTATTTTATAAATTAATGACATTTGTGCTATTTTAGATTATTGTAAAATTCAGATATTTGCAGATAATCCAGACATTGAGATGAAACTATAGACACTTCTTTAAAAAGCTAAATTCTGACTTGACAAAAATCATAAATTGGTTAAATAATGTAAATAAAGTAAAACTGAATACTTCTAAATAAAATGTATGCTAATAGGGATATACCTAAATGAAAATACTGTTAGGATAAATGGTGAAATAATTGGAAATGTTGAATCAATTAAATATTTAGGTATATATATATATATATATATATATATAACTTGAGACGTGGTCATTGTCATCTAGACCAGTTAGGTGAAAAATTAAAGCCTCCGCCTTTTGTTGGGTACTTCGACAAAAATTTTAAGCAAGGAGAACTCTTTATACTTTTTTTGTTATCTCTAGCTTTCAATGGACTTTGCCATCATCATCAGGAGCTGCAATTACATTGGTAACAGTAGCAACAATAGTGTAAAATGAATTTAAATTAACTTAACTTACAGTAGTATGTGAGGATGTTGTATATATATACAGGGTGTCCGCAAAGTTGGAGTTTTCCTTTTCAGAAACAACTACCCTTGAAATAACAAAGTAGTGAAACGAGGACGACCAAGGAAAAAAAAAAGGAAAAAGTACTCACTCTCCAGTTGACGAGAAGGGCTAAGTACGTCTCTGCCCGAAATCATACCGCTCCAACAGAAAATAAAATCAGCTGATGCGCTACCGAGCAGACGCAGAAACCACATTGATTGTCTTACACTTAATGGCACATCTTCTAACAAGGAACGCAAAATGTTGCGTAAAAAGTCTAGGTATTGCATCCCGTAAAAACGATTTGGGAGAATAAATGGTCCAATGAGCATACCGTTCACCATGTCAGCCCAAACATTCACCGAAAATGTTTATTGAAAATGGACCCGACGGACAGCGTGCGGATTTTCTATTGACCAAACATGAGTGTTGCGAAAGTTATTCACCCCATTACGCGTGAACGTAGATTCGTCTTTCACCAATATGCACTTCAAAAAGTCCGGATTATTGTCATGTTGATGCAACAACCACTCACAAAACCGCACTCTTGCTGGAAAATCGTCAGGTTGAAGGGCTTGTACACGTGGGACGTGAAACGGATACAGCCCCTCTTCACGCAGCGTTTGCCACACTTTAGTTTTTGATACTTGCACTTCTCTAGCCACGTCTCTAGTGCTTGTTGAGGGATTCTCGTCTACGCGATTACCTCTACACGCGTGACCGTAACCGTCGGTTGAAGGTTGCATACTGACCTGACACACTGACCCCAACCCAGTTCTGTCGTCGGGTTGAGCCAGTGACCTTGCACCAGTCGGTGATGTCGCGGCTACAGGACGGTATTCAGATATTTTTGATGTTGCAGAGCCCTTTATCTAGGTTCCCTTAAGACATTGGTGTATATGGTACTAAGAAAAATTGCTTATGTTTTCAAGAGCTTCACGTCGTGTAAAGGAAAACCCCAACTTTGCGGACACCCTGTATATATATATATATATATATATATATAATGTATGAGGATCACATTATTTCAAAAATTACAAAAAACAAATTACTTTATAGGGGTTTTCATAGACTTAGTACATATTCCAAAAAATATGTTTATGGTACAATCTTTTTACCGCATTTATTATATTGTTCAGCTATCTTGTTCACTGTCAATGAAGCTGTATTCTCAAAATTACAAGTCTTGCAAAATAAAGCTTTGAGAATAATATTGAAAAGAAATACTAAAATAAATGTTACAAGAATTGCAGTGGTTGAATATAAAAAATTTCATATCATATTTGGTTCTTATTTTTCCAGCTTTCGTGGATCATTTTTTAAGACACCTGAAACAAATTCATGCATATTTTGGTCATCTTCAAAGACCTAATCCATGGGTGGTCTTTGAGCAAAAGATTGAGCTTTCATATAAATATATCCGAATATGTATGCACGCTCAGGATGGCTGGCATTAACGTTTCGAATATCTCAATGGTGAGAGCCAAATTTGAAACACCCTGTTGATAGAATAATTATTTTTTTATTTGTAGATATATGAACTTTAATCCTAACTGACAAATAAATACAAATATCATAAAAGAAAAGAACCACATATACATAAACATATTTAAGGTATCTAGTAAGCCACGATATTTTTAGATCCTTTCATCTCTTTCATAGCTAGATCATAGGTCAGTAACTTTGATGACTGCACTTGTAATTACCTTGGAACTGGTACCGGTCTAAGTTTTCTACCCTTTCTGATCGAGTTCAACAATTGCTCCCTAGGTGTTAACTGTCGTGGTTGCGGTGGAAGCTTCCTATCGCTCACTTTCTTCAACGGAGGTCGTGAACGGATGAACTCCAGAATGATGGCATGCGCATCTTTGGTCACCCTTGACGGTACATCTCCTCTCACCATTATCTTACGAAGATTATACCTTAAAGACAACAACGTTATTGTTCCTCACCGAAGAAACACTAAAACTTGAAAAGTCACTCGCCGGGCAGAAATTATAGTCGAATGATGAATCGGAGCATCGCTACGTCAAATTTATGCTTAATATTTTGAGTTTTATTGCCTGAATATTGTAAATCAATCAAAGTACTATACTTGAAAAGTTATTCAATATAATGGAAAGGAAAACAACATTGGCACCATAAAGTCGACGTCCGACTTGTCAAAAATTAGAACAAGTGCTAATCGCGTAAAGAAATCCACAAAGAACTTCATCGATTTATTTGACGACAAATTCCTGTTTTATTCTTTTGAAATTTGGCCATGCACTCAATTCACGATGAAATCCGTGGAATAATTGTCAATGTAAAACGGGTATTACAGTTTGAGCTCATCAGCTGTGTATGAAATACTGGTAGTCATTATTTCATCACCTGTGTACCATTAACCGACTAAACTAAGGCAGTTGAGCAAGAATAATAGTGATAATTATTTTTTACCTGCAGTTTCTAATATCCTTCATCAAAATCTCATACGGAGTCAACTCATATTCAATTGGAGCTTTGCTAAAGTTGACTTTCTTCAATTTGACACCAGTTCTTAGTTCACCCATGACTTGTACCCAGAATCTGGCCCAATCAGAAAACTGCAACTGTTCCAACTATAATCACAATAACTAACCTCAAACAAAACGAAAAAAAAAACAAAAAAGCAAATAATGAGATTACAATAAGCAGTAACATTTATTTGCCCCTAAGAGAAAAACTTACTGGGATATGTTGTACTTTACCATATTAGATACTGTCATTGAAGAAGCATTTGTAAAAGTAAAATTGGTGTTGATAAGATAACTGATTACAGTATATTAACAGCAATATATAAGGTATTGAGTATGTATATGCATTTTCATCTCTAGTTGATTTCATGTTTTTTTTTTATAGAAAGCTGCTATTACCTTGGGATTGGCAGTGTTTGTAGGCAGACTGATAGTTCCTTGTGCTACTTTTTCCAAAAACATGGCAAGTTCCAGAGCCTCTGCAACTAAGGCTCTAACCACTGCTTTGTAGTGAGCTTCAGCTTGTTGCTTGGTTAGGGTACCCAAATGATCTTCACATCTTTTGATCACCTGTGATTGACATAATGATAAAATAGTGACCACTTATGGTTAAAAGAAATTTGATGGATGTAAGGACACTAATTTAAACAAAAAAGTTAACTTTATGATACATATAAGAACTAGGAAAATATGTTATTAGAAAATAAAATGGGTGTATCTCAAAATAATATCAAGTTCAATCTAACATTGAGCACTGATTCTTGAAGGTTTAAAATATTAATATACATACTTCTTGTAAAGTGACACTTGTTGAGGTTTGTGATGGACCTACAGCTTCATCTGCTTCTTCTGAATCTCTCTCAATACCTATGAAAATATGTATTAAAAATATGCTTAATATTGGAATTATTTTAGTAATAGCAGGGTATAATAAGGTATACAGGTACAACAAGAAGTAAAAAGATTCCATGTACAATAGTGATTAGAAGACAATGCCATTTTCTTACAAAAAATCATGGTAGGTCACTTCTGCTATCTATCAATATTGAAGTCATAACTATAAAGCTTTCACATACATGTGTGTCCCATGGCCATTCATACTAGGATGGAATATTCTGAGCCATGGAGCACCAGTTTCTTATTTATTTAATTTCTTTTTGACAATACATTGCACAGGAATAGTTAACAGTAAACTTGAAGCTAAAAAACCTATTTCTAACAGAAAACAACACAATTGCATAAATCTCTATATTCTTCCAGACCGTAAAGAGTATTTGTAATCAAGCATTCCATCAAAGGATGCTTAAAAATATTTATGTTCTGGCAATTTCTTATTTGCTGGAAGATTTTTATAAGTGATAATATCACTATAATCTGGTTCAGAGATCTGTTAGACTTGTTACTCTATGGCTCCAGTCTATACAAAATTTAGTAGAAAATTTGGCTTCTCCTCAATGCTACATGCATGGCACTTTGAACTATTAAAGAAGCTTAAGCAGAGCAATCAGCAGTTGTGACATCACTGACACTGATGATTGAAAGTGTTCCATTTTCTGTATATTCCAATTCCAGATTATTGATTAAAATCATCATTCTTCTTCTAGATTTATAAACAATATATGTTCTTTTGTTCTTCTGTGTTTATAACTGTATTACTGGGTATAGATAAGTTCTTGTGGAAGTACTTAGTATTAAGATAGATGTGTTAAGTTTGTCAACTATGGGTATGTGATTTATTGAATACATATTTTGATATGGGCATGCCATCAATTTTGATGAAATTTTAATTTTTTAACTGATTTAGTACTAAACATGTGTTAAAATCTACTAACTGATACTCTGAACATTTCATTATCTTATTCTAAAAATGTTTTTTAGAAACTGAAACACCTAAAGCAGAAAACTTATAAGTTCAAAAGATCATCATCTAATCAAAGTTACTATACTTTGTTATATAATAGTAATTTCAAAGTGGGAGGACCTGTATGTTTACAACACTAAGGGAAACTGTTGTAAAATCGGTTTTATCTGTTTTAGGACATGTTTTCTAGTGAAATATAGACTCAAATTTAAGCACCTAATAATATACTAGCAAAATTCATTACATCCCTATGCATACAAACAATCCTATGTTTACCTTCATCATCAGTCTCATGATGACTATGATCTGCACTGGTACTCTGATCTGTAATCATATCACTGATTAGCTGTTCCAGATCATTGCTAATCACCACTTCTTCGCCAGTTCTCATTTCTGGATCAAGTGTGGCATAGATTACAAGCCCTATGCCAGCAACAATTTCTTTTTGACTCCGGAGAGTTTTTCCTGGAGACTGTTCACTCGGAGCTGTTGTTTTCTCATGCACATTGCCGTCAGTCTTCAGGAAGACGTACTGGGTCTCAGCTATCAGACGACAGTCACTGTTCGGGGCCTCACAGACTTCGTTCAGGTGCCTGGCCAGCTGGTAGCACAAGGCCCAGGCGTGTTCTTCTTTCACTGAAGAGTTGAACGAGTTCAAGATATCGCGGAGGCAGACGCTGCCATCACAGTCCACTTTACATTTTGTTTTCGTCGTCATTGTTTATAATTTTTGAAACCCTGGTGTCCTATTTCGTTTATTTTTTGACAGTTCTTAACCTAAAATCGATGGCACGACCTTGAAACTGGCAGCTCGCCCACCTGACTGATATTGATTAGTTGTGGCTATATTCACGACAAACTTCGAACTTTTGGAAGATATAGGTGTACGGTTACTACTATTTGTAGTACATATCACATTTATCAATGATTTTAGTTTCACATTGTAAAAATGATAACTTCTTTTTGCAATTTACAAATTTTTATAATCAATTCATCCGATTTGATCTGCGTTCAAATTTGTTGGGAATGTCCTACGAATCAAGGAATCATTTCTGCAGCCTGCAGCTCATACAGGCCGTTCTTTTGTCATGAAACCTCGTTGTTCCGTCACGAGAATAATTAACGGCAATCTTACTGTGAGGACTGTTGACTGGTGAACCTGGGAGAAGTGTCACGAACAAATTCGTACTGAAGTGACAAATGTTCCCACTATCTGTGAAATGTTCCAGAAGGAAATCCCTTGTAAAGCAAAATTAGAGAGAGAAAATCGATAGTCTTATTCTTTTGTGATAGGACGGAATGGCATGATTAAATCACGGGAAAGACTGTTATGTGTGGGCGTTAGTAGAAAAGCCAAAATCCTCAACCTTCGTAGACTTACACACTTCCATTGTTTCATTTTTATGACGTTCCGTGTAGTAACGTCAAAGTCCTTTCTCAATTGTGACGTTCCGTTATTCAAACCGATTATCGATTTAAATTCGGAAAAATGCAGTAATACAAACAATTCAGAAATTTATTACGATTATGAGATATGAATGTGTCCTTAACGTTTGAAGTGCTACTATATTTGAATTCTTACTATTTTGGACTATTCGCAGTATGCGAGCTAGGCATGAACGCAGTGAAATACATAAATTTCGGTAGCATACAGCATTACTCCACAGATTTTGGAGTCCTACTTGGAGTTTGCTTTATAGAAATTTTAAGGGTGATATTAGCTAGCCGAGGAAACCTGACCGAAAAAAGTAAGCACAACAATCACAGAGCACAGCTGAACGGTGTGTATATATTTTAGAATGAATGAATAGAATAACCCAATTTTTACAAGAGGATATTTGGAGAGTCCTACTATCTAAACACGTTTTTGGACGTTGCTTAAGTCTATAATTTAATCTTCATTTGAGTGTTTTTTCAAGTGGAGCATCTCTTACATAGTCACATTTTTGATGGGTCAACAAGTTTTTTGTGTATTTTTTGTTCATCTATTGTTGTTTATATGGAATAGTTTTCTGTAGGGTAAAAAAGCTATGTTATTTCCACACGAAATATTTGTGCATTTAAAATACCTCTTGATTTTAGAAGAATATTTCAAATAGATTTTTCCGTACATACCGTGAGGGTCCTAGAATAAAAAATAAGTGCAAAAATGTCTAATGACTAATAATTGAAAATGTTTTTTTGAGAATTTAAAAAGCCCCCCATCTTCAAACGTTGATCAGATTTTTTGTATTATAGCATTGGTTGATATATTCTCCAAGAACATGCCCCAACCATATGCGGCTTTTGGAGATTCACATACAATTTTCATTATTAATACAGCCAGGTTTTCCAAACAGAATCGCTGCAATTCCCTTAGAAGTAATAAGAATAGACTCTGTTTTCCAGTCAAAGAAAATGTTTATTCTTAAACATAACATCAACGTTCCAGGCAGATATCACTTTTCAACCTCCCTTGTAATTAGTCCTGGGATTTTGTATTATCAGAATTTCTCCATAACGGAAAAGGAAATCCTATAACCTGTGGCAACTGTAGGAGAGGTGGAAACGCTGACAATGGTCAATAAGTATAAAACCCTTGTGTGCAGTCACCCCCACTTTATTTTTTTAACGGGTAAAGTTAGCGAGCTGAAATTCGGGACGATGAAATTGATGCATTGCTATATGTTGTATCGAAAACACCGTTTTTACTGGCCGAAGTCTACACTAATTCATAACATTTGCAACTAATTTGTAACTATGTCGACTGTACTATCATTCCACCTTTCTCGCTCGCTATACGAGGGGGTTACAATATTTTTGCGTAAAAGTGATAGTTGAAAAATTCATAGATGGCAATTAGGACAAGTTCTTTGAATCGACAGTGGGGGGGGTCAGGTGACACCTTATTTTTTAGCTCTTTAAAAGTACTTTGTAACCCAGAAATGGCGGACTTGTGGGGACTGTCAAATTGAGCTTTATTTTGTACATTAAATTGCTTGCTGCGTATCATCCAGCAATCAATCATCGAAAAGCTATAGTATGTTATGTTATATCCATCTTATTTGCTAGGATCTATGCGACATGCAGCCTATTAGTCGCCACATTGAAATATTCTTTCACTTTTACGCTAAAATATAGTATTCTTGCGTCCATTTTATCATCCAGAATTTTAGCTTGCTAATCTGATGTTTTTGAAAGCCCCTACAGTCAGGAATATTTATGAAACTTGAAAAGGTTATTACATTTCAAATTAATTTTCATATCTAGTCAGTTGAATTTTATAGAAATTTATTTTGCGATGTGATATGAGGCACTGCGAAAATTGTGATGTGCGATGCGTGTTCTTATGATGTTGCCTGATCACACACAACGCGGGCGCGGTGGTGATTTCCCGTAATGCTTCTCAAAGTTTTTGAAAACACAAAAAAGCCCGGCACGGTTATCACGTATCGTGAAAAGTGACACTATGCCGATTTTTTTTGACATTATGTAGGTTTTTCTACAAGATGTTAACTTAGCACTTAGTTGTACGTGTTGCCTAAACATCAGGAGGCTTGTTATCAATCTTTGGCTCTGATGTGATGTAAAATCTGCTTCTGAGATGGCGTTACTGGAGGTCTAAGCTGTAAGTTGTATGTGTTGATGATAATTACATTGGGTTCTTGTCTCAAATACACTTAATTGACATTCAAAGCTAGAAATTAGTTGCGCATCCACTTTTTCTTATCCATTCTGGAAATTACATATACGAATTTGCTGAATTTCAAAAATGAGAGAGGTAAGAAATAATTAAATTCACTGTACACTGTCAAATTACAAGCCATATACATGCTAACAGTAATTACACACCATGATGATTTCCCGTAATTCTCCTCAGTTTTTCGTAATTTATAACTTTGAACATAACAGAAAGCATAACATAAAAATAACCCGGCGGGAACAGCCAATAGATATACTTCATTGGCAGCATATTCAGTAATGATTTTCTCACACAGCAAATATCACTGATTTTATACACATGCCGACCAATACACATAATCATCCAGATGCGATCATGCTATTCAACCAACTTTCTTCTCAGAGATAAAAATCGTAATAACCTTGAATATAACCTCTCCTCACATCACAAATAACCCGTGTGGTACAGCTAACAGATATATAGGGTGTAATTTACTTGACGGCTAAAAATACAGGCTATGATTTCTTAGCTGATTTGAGAAAGAAAAGTTTATATTAACATATTATGTCATAAACCTCTTAACTTTTGAGCTACAGAAACTACAAAAATATGGTACGTCATTGCTTTTTCTGAAAATAAAAATCATGTGTGAAATCCCCATTTGTCTTGCAACAAATTTGACCTATTGACTTTTTTCCGTCCAATGCGCCGTTTTCGCGGAAAAAAATAAAAACCATTTTCATGGATTTGTGGTAAATCGAAATTATTTTGAACTAGTAGGCTGGTGCCCTATTTTGTTTTTACGCGAAAATAGAGCATCGGACAAGAGGTCAAATTTGTTGCAAAAAAATAAGGATTTCAAAAATATTTTTTATTTTCGGAAAAAGCAATGGCGTACCATGTTTTTTTTAAATCCCCGGTGTACATCTCGAACGGACGCCAATGGTAGAAATATTAAAAACTAGTCTACGTCAAAACATGCGCATGACAAATTTCATGAAAATATCTAAAACAATATTAAAGTTCGATAAGGAAACGATTTTTTTCTTAAAATTTTAGCACCTTGTAGCTCAAAAGTTAAGCGGTTTAGGACATAGGGAATCATATCCTGTATTTAAATCCATCAATTAAATTCCACCCCATATAGGCTTTTTACGTAATAACCCTGCATTTGATACTCGGGGAAACTAATAGTGTTTTTCTACATTTCAGAATGGCCTGTAATAGTGGCCCTGCTGCTAACCATACCATCGCTTCTGGGCGTTGTGTACTTGATGGTATGGCAGAGCGAGGTCCTCCGTTTCGAATACATCATTTGCGCCCTCCAGCTGGGTTTCTGTACTGCTGAAATCGTCACGGGAGTACTTTGTCTATTCTCTTGCTGTCAATCTCCGGAGTACTACTGAACAGAACATACATATATGCTGGAGAATATGTGATACGTGTATGTGACATACACAGACGTCCACAATTTTTTTAATGTTGGAAAAACTGCATTAATATTGCCTAACTAAAATCACACTCGATCTCACTTTCGTATTGCGTGGCTCCAAATTTTACAATTTTTCATAACATCGGGGAAACCCTGCGCATTTTCGTTTTCTTCCGATGGTACCTAGTTCCTGACCGAAGAGATACGTAGGTAGAGCTCGAGCCCATTATTCTATGACCGTTACTTTTATTTAAAACAATGTAATTTAATTGGCAATATTTATATAATGTTTCCTGCATTTTGTTAATCAATGATCTAAGATCAAGCTAACTTTTTCATATTATTTAAAAATAGTAACGAAAACATTGAAAACTGTGTAATTTTAAGAAACCGATATCAACATTTTAGAGTCAGTTAAGGCTTCGACGATGTTGCAGGTTGTTAAGCACATTTCATATCCGTTATTATCTAAACCGATGCACACATCTTGCATTAAATATATTAATCTATGGGTGTATGGAGGCGCCGTCGTGATGAAATAACGCTTGTTTTAGTCGATAAATAATTGGACAAATTTTCTAAATGTCCCTCAAATACGCTTCTCGAAAACTAAAGCAATCTTTAATTGGCGATATTATTGAATAAACGTGTGATAAGCTAGGACTCCATGATTGTCTGGTCGTTAAATGAAACAATGTCCTATAAGCATGAAAAGCACAGGATTAAGTTTGAAGTGTTATGTGATAAGGTGTGTAAAATCCAATATGGCGTCCATAAGAAAAAAATAAAGTTGATGAGGGCAAGCTACAAAATATAATATTGAAATTCTAAAGACGCTACCTTGTAATGAAGAAAAAGTGGTAATATGTGCAATTTGCTTTGGAATCCTACCAATGAAAACGTTTTTGGGAAAATTCAGTTTTTTGTCACAGGTGAGGATCGAATTTAAAACTCCCGGTATATGAAACATAGGTTCATTCTAATGATAAAGAGTAGTATTAGTCTCAGAGGTACGCGTTTATAGTAAATTATTCGGTAGTTCTAAAGATAAAATATTTACCCTGTATGAAAGGTATTAAAAAAGTATATACAGCAGACGCTCGATAATGTAAACTAATTTAATCCAAGTGTGGTTCACATTATCGAAATGTTTACATTAGCGAACGTGATTTATATAATATTTGATTCATTAAAAGACACGTTTAATACATACTATGTATAACAAAATAAACAAATATTCTAACAGCGATAAGTATTTTTTTAATTAGAAGAAAAATAATTAACAATTTTTGTCTGCGTAAATTTGCGCTTAACATTGTCTTCCAATGCCTGCGCACGTAATTTAAATATCCGTGTATGAAACTTCTTTTCGTTCAGCCCAATCTAAAGCTTGGTTGAAAACTTGTATAGCTTGCGCGTCAGTCACTACACTTCTGACTTCAATGGGATCGTTCTCATCATCCTCACTGTCCATATCCTCCTCCTTATCAGCATCATTCGTCTGCTTATCTTCGTTCCATAAATTAATATCAGCAGGAGTACAAACAATGTTGGGATTCACTGTTTTCAATAAATCAACAACATCCAATGACACACTAATAACATTATCATTATTGGATCGCAAACGTTATCTAATTACGCTTAAGGGGACATCGTCTTCTTCATCATCTTCATTATTGGTACAAAAGAGATTGTTCCAACATTTTTGAATAGTTTGCTGGTTAAGTTCATTCCAGGCCATATGTAAATCTAAAACAGCTTCTCGTAATGTTACTTTTTTAAAGCCTCAGATAAGTTTTCAGGATTCTTTGATAAGACAGACGAAAGTAGAAACTTCCTATAGTATAGTTTGGTGAGTCTTATTATATTCTGGTCCATCGGTTGAATTAACGGTGTTACGTTGGGCGGCATGTACATGACGAAAATTGACTCATCCCTGCTCCTCAGTTGTTGCTCGGGAGCATGACTTGGTACATTATCCAATAGTAACAACGCTTTTATTGGAAGCTTCTGTTGTTTTAGGAAACCTTTTACCTACAAATTGAAAACACATCTTCAAATTATGAATAGAGCATTTGTGATAATTGATTGTCATACCTGAGGGACAAAGCACCTGTGGAACCATTTCAGGAATATACTGCTAGTCATCCAAGCAGTTTTTGAACAGTCATAATCAACAGGGATATTAACATTTTTAAATGAGCGCGGATTTTTTGCTTTCCCAATTACCAGTGGCTTTATTTTGTGTAAACCATTAGCATTAGTGCAGGCTAGAAACGTTATTCGTTGTTTCTCCGGCTTTCTTCCCGGGGCAGATTTTTCAAATGATGCAGCATAGGTTTTCTCTGGTAACATTTTCCAAAAAAGGCCACTTTAATCTGCGTTGTAAATTTGTTCCATTCTTAAATCTAGCTCGGTAATTGTTTTCATCAATTTTTCTTAGAATGGTTGCACTAATTGTGGTTGTGCTGATAATTTTTCACCAGATATAGACAGCAGTCGAATTCCATATCTTGTTTTGAATCGTTGTAGCCAGCCATCACTAGCTACGAAATTTTCAGTGTCTTTCACTTTTTCATTTAAGTCTCGCTCTCTGTTTAAGTACTTCGCCACTAACTGAGAGATGATTTTCCCGTTGTTTTAAAAACCACTTATACAGGGAATTTTCCATTTTAGGTGCCTTCGCATTTTTTAAAGTTTTTCTTTTTCCCGGACCTCTAAATGTATTGCACGTTCTTTGTAAAATTTGAGTTTTCATACGCTTAATTTTACAGATTGTTGCTTTCGATACTCCATATTTTTTTGCTAACTGTGTCACTCCCGCACCTACTGCAACTTCGTCTATGATTTTCACTTTCTCACTCAACTTTAAACACTTTCTTTTATAGGATGTGGATGCCATAGTCGTAACATATATTAACGCGTGCAATGTATTCACTTAAGTTCAATACATACGTACGTATAAACGTATTCTAAACGATCATACGACTGACCGAGTTTGTCGTATTTTATCGCAGAGGTGAATCCCCTACGCTCTACATCATAAATCGGGGACTCCCCGACGCCCGACATTCAGCATTTTACCGTCGCGCTGTTTCCGTGCGCCGAGAGTTGTTTACGTTATCGAGCGTACACATTGTTTACGTTATCGCGCGTTCCGTCTGATCCTATAGAACGAAGTTTGTGTTTACATTAGCGCAAGTTTTCATTATCCCGTGTTTACGTTATCGAGCGTCTGCTGTAGTATCTAGACTGAAACAATCATCTTCATCAGTCCTGCCCTGTATGTATTTAAGAATTCTATGCAATAAAATTGTAGCAGTTATTAGAAAATATTCTCTTGCATACTTTTTAATTCTGCCTTTTTTTGAAAACATTTATATCCTTAATTTCTAAAAAAATAACTTAGTTTAATCTGGATCGCAGAGTTACATCAGGTTGCTGATATATTGTAATCAAAACCATGAAATAGATCGAAAATTTCCAGGTAGTATCTGCGATCAAATATTCTTCCCACGATCCGGAGAGTTCAACATGAGCAATACTTGCATGAAACTTGAGGAGTTACCCCACTATATAGGGTCTTCTAGAGTAACATGTCAATCTCTCGTAGCCATATAGAATACAACAGATAGTGGCACAAGTTCCTGTAAAAAAATGTCTACGGATTTAAAGTCCCTTAAAGGAAATCGGTTCTCTTTGAGTAACTTTCAAACGACATTGTATAATTCAACATAATTGTATAAGCTTAATCACCATTTGGAGCCTTGCTAGAATTGAAAACAATTAACTCGTCTAGATATTTTCGCATTCTGTTCAATAATAACTGTAAATTAATATTTTTGGGAATCTTCAGTTGGAAAAAAATTGTTCTAGCCGTGTTTAAGAAAAAACAATATTGATTCAGAAGTGTTCCTATAGATTTACACTGCAGCGACTGCTCAAAACGTTAGACTTGAATTTAAACCTAATCAAGTAATTTGAAAATTCGTATAAGGTTGGGTCGCTACTTATGAATCCGTTACCAGAGTTACTATACTTTTAGAGTGGCGTAACCAGTATGCTAGATAAGTTCCATGGGCGCACATTAGGTGGGATAAGGGGCATATGCTCCCCCTGGGTTTCACTTGAGAAGTAAAATATATCTAATATGAAATCCGTCCGAGTGGCTTGCGTTCTTTTGGTTTTTGAAACATCCGCGAAAATTACCTTGCTAGATCTGAATTGTGGAGATTGTTTGTCTTGTTAAATTGAAAAACTTTCAATTTTCAATAGCAGCCCTCCTCTAGGAGACGGAAATCTTGCTGAGACTGAATTCTGGCACCACCAATGTGCCCCCTTGAAATTCTAGAACCACCCCTTGAACTTTGTTATTTGTGAGCCCATGATCAGTTCCCAAAACTAATACTGAAACATAAATTTAGTAAAACCAGTACCTACGGTATGGTTTAGAGCCATGCTGCCCATGATTCAACAAATGTGCTGATGATCGATGTGTTGCTACTGATTTGGCAGAAAGTTAAGCTGTCAACGCCTCCTTGAAATCTGTTTCTAACCTTAGACATGACCGCCAACCTAACCAGCGCCATCTACTGTTAGAATACCACTCATTGTAAACAGCGCTATTCATGCTTATTGGCAATTTTTATAAGCATGGTCCAGGTTTCCGTATTATGGGGTAATAGAGATTTAAGAGACAGACCTTAGGAGTCACGATTCAACTCATCCAACTGCAAGTAGTGATTTTTGTAATATAAAGTAGGTTGCACGAGGACTGATAAATAATCCACTACCACTTAAAGGAATTGTTAATCTTAAATCAAAATTAGTATGTTTTATAGTACATAGTCTATATTTATAGATGCTACTCTGATCAATACATGATGATGATTACATTTACCCGAAAATTGCGCTGCTATTCACCAAAAACTGTAGGTAGCTCCTGAATAACATGTATAGTATGAATCAGAGAAGTATTTTGTTTTATTTTACTTGTAGTATAAAACGTTTAAAAATAAGTGTTCATCAGTTTCTAATGAGATCTGTATTATATTTTTGTAAATGATGTAAGCAGTATTAGGATTAGGTATATTCTAGCTGAAAACGTTTCCTTATGTATTATCACGCAAGTGGTTGTAGTTAGGTATAATTATTTTCACATAGATTTTCTTAATAAATTGATAGTATCTACCTTATGTGTTTTTTTAAGCAATACTATTGAATGAACAGCATATCCTAAAGTGTGAAACTGTAAGCAGCATTTTAACAGCTTATCGAAGTTACAATATTTACATCTCATTCTAGGAGTACCTCCTGATGTATGTAAAATAAAAACAATAACTGAACTTTCGAAGATCGTACAATTGAGAGTATCACAAAAGTCTTTTATAAATATTATAAAAAGCAGTGGGCCAAGATTCGATCCCTGTGGCACCCCCGATGTACAAGCATATTCATAAGAGCTGCAACAACTGCATAGAACAAGCTGCCTTTTCTTAGATAGATATGAATAAAAAATAGGAAAGCTGAACAATCTAACCCATAATTTTCAAGTTTGTTTATATGAACTGCTTGATCCAACCTATCAAAGGCTGTGGCAAAATCAGTATATACAACATCCACTTGGCCACGTTTATCAACACAATCTGATACTTATTGTGTGAATACGTTGTTGTTAATCTTTTTGCTACAAAACCATACTGAAAGGGTGAAATGAGATCGAAATTAGGTTAGCACCATTACATAAAATTGCTCCATAGTTAGTATGAGAACAATCCCAAGATTTGAAAACAGGGCCACACTGTGCAAACCTATGCCATGAAAAGTGTTTAAAAAAGGTATGCATACATCATTATGCTCTTTGGGTTTCTAATGTAAAAGGAAATTAAGTAATATTCAGGTGCACTGAAAATATATTTTGCAACAAGTGCTAATGAATTGTATAAAACTTTATTGAATCATCATATGAACTTAAAATAAGACAAAATATGTACACAGTTATGAATTGTAAACTATGATGAATGAAACAATTTAAAAATGCTTAATATGGTCGAGGCCGATGGTTAAAATTGCCAGTATACCCTTTTCGTGACATGCCCCAGTTGTCGGGGGGAGTAATTGCAATATCCATATAATCGCCAATGTTTATCCTTAGTTGTCCCAGAGTCTTCAGATCATCAGGGCCCTTTACACCAGTCATTGTTGATCCTACCTAGTGGTAGATATAAGATATTGTTTAATCATCATCTAAATTACACAGGCCTGCCTGCCTCTTAAACAACTAATTAGCAATTTGGGTGAATACTAGTTTCTGAACTATGAAACAAATAATAAATAATATATAATGTATATTTTTTGTGAAAATTGCTTTTTTCTTTTTTCTAGTATTAGTGCCTGCTAACGAGTAACTGGTTACTTAATAAGAAGTTTGTGTATTTAGTTAGTCTCTGTAGTATGGTTTTTGACTACTACTGTAGTCTTTTGCTTTTACAGATGAAATAAAAGTTAAATTATGCAGGCCTGTGTTATATGGGGTATGAGAAAATGAGAATGAAAGATAGATAAATAGATGGACTGTGAAAAAATTGAAAGAGGAAGCTAAAATATTAATACCTATTTCCTTCAATGTTTATGGTTTCCTTTAATGGCAGTGAAAAGTTAAGTTAATTTTAGAAGAATTCGTAATTCTTTACAGACCTGTGCATTTTTAGACAAAATTCCAAAAGTGAGAGAAAGTGATTTGAGTTATGGATAAAAAACAATTGCCTTTTCCATTGGATGTTTTTCACAAGCTATGGATTTAAAAAGAGTTTATTGTGTTTTAGATATCTGATCATTCTCAATTCCCAATAAAAAAAATGTCAATTAAATTCAATTCAGGTAAAAACAAGGAATTTAGTTTTTCTACTAATAACGCATTTGTTTATGGAGCAATGAAGTATGAATTCGTTTTCTAAAGGTATTTAAGTAAATATTCATATTTGTCTATATACCTTTGTCCATTGCTGTACATCAATTTATTTTGAGAAAGAGTCAAACAGTTCCCTTTTTGAATTAATTTTATACAGTAATCCAAAAATGTATTTGATGTCATTGGCTTACCTCTCTGAGTCTATATAGAGATTGTCTATTATCGGGATACACAAATGCAAAATTGAACTTTGTGCCCTTTCTTCTAGCCTCAGGATTCACCTCCTTCACAAGCTGCGTCAGCTCATGCAGGGTGGCATCTTTCCACGTATAAATTTGCAGCTCATTCTGAGGTGTGTTTCCTTTAAGGTATTCCGAGGGTTTGTGATGATAGCCTGTATTTGAAACGAAAACCCGCAGCAGAAATGGGCAGACCTACATTGACGGAACATGTTTGGTATCATGAAAAAGGTTTATAAAGCCGCAAGTGACGGACTTACCTTTTGCCTGTCAACTGCGTCGTCCTTTTTTTCTTCGACGACCAGTTCTACGTGCCTTCCTTCCATTCCGGACATGATTTAAAAACGGAAACGAGTTTAAAAGCAATCGCCGAAAATGTTAATGTTTAGAAAAACAAAGTAAGGTTAGGTTAGCAGTAAACAACGCCGCCAAACGACAATATTGTCAATGTCACTGAGGGTAGAGATGCGTGAACGTAATTTTTGGATTCATTTAACAGTAAAAAAGATATTCGTAAAATTTTGTTTCTTCAAGAGAAAAATAACTATTCTTTAGTTAGATTAGTGCATAATCAAATCCAAGCGAATAACCAAAATTTCTGTGATATGTGCCGCGGTTATAATATGGTTCAAGATGACACACGGGTTGATGACGTCAGTTACACGAATCGCTTGAACGCGTTGGTTTTAACCGCGGTTTTGTTGCAAGTTGTTTATTTTAGAAAAGCGCGTATATAATCTCTGATTATTTTTATTATCACTTAATAATCGGTGCTTTTTCGTCTACAACTGAGTATGGAAAGTTTAAATAAGAAACCTTTCATAATGTTCAAGGGAGAAATGCTATTTTCAGATTTTTTTTTAATGATGGAACAATGGCTTTGTAGCCATGATAACTTGATGGTGGTGGTGTTCCACTTTATGGTAAAACTGAAGTCAGCCTGTATCATTTTTCCCAAAAATGAAGCTGAAGTACAATAACAATATCCAATACCCGCCAAAATTCTAACTTGTCACATTTCAAATAATAACCAGAAATATAAACCTACTCGTGAGTTGGGTAAATACCATAATTTTGCGGTGATAACTATGACATATAACAGCTGATTCGTGACGTCACGGATCTTATAACCAAACTGATAACTACACTCGCTTGAACGGATCGGTAAATACCAACTCAAGATGGTAAATACCATTTCCATTTGGTTATCCGCTTGAATTTGATTCATGTTTCTGTGAATTTCTTTTTATAATAATGTATTACAGGGTGGCCAAGATAGGGATCAGACTAGGTTAAAATCAGTAATAACACAATCTTACATAAAGCATTTGTTTGCAACGCCTACTTAAATAAAATGAAAAAATAGAAAAAAAAACGTTTGTTTATAACTTTAAAAAAACAAATGTAACGTGATACATCCTTGGAGATGCTATTATGTAGTGCCATTAGTCTTTTAGCATTTTTGAAATAATTTATTTGAACACAATAATACAAAATGTATAACCATTTTTAACAATAATTCCCCAATCAGTGTTTGCAAACACTGGCCCCGAGAATAACAAGACAATAATCAATATCTATGAGCTATAGGTACACTGCAATGTTGCTCATAATTTCAACAAATAAATTCATTAACATTTTTAAAATCTTTCAATTCTCTAACAAAACTTCTATAGTTATTTGAATCTTTTATACAATTATCGCAAATATCTCAGTATATAACTAATCTCTCAGTGTATGCAATTTATTAAAAAAAAAAAACACACAGTAGATGACTATGCAAGGCTCAGCTAGTTTGCTGCACATATGTGTTCCGTTTCCTTCAGAAGAGTTGGAAGTATACCTAATTTCCACTTTGGAGACACTTTTTTTTTATATCGAAGCAGCCGCGCAGGCAGAAGCCTAAATGCCGGAACACCGCGGCTGCTATGATGATCCCAAAGAAATTTTGTTAATACGATTTTTGAACTGCCTAAGGTTGGTAGAACTGGAAAAAGCTTCCGCCCGTAGATTGTTCCACAATCTAGACACCCTCGGGACAAAGGAGCGGTCGTATCGGCCAGTTCTGGATGTACGAAGTTTGACACGGTTAGGATGGGACGCCGAAGTCAGGCGGGTCTGTCTGGCAGGCACATCGCGCGGCGGCATCATGGAAGAGAGCTCTGAGGAGCAAAGCCCGTTGGTGTAGCGATAGAAAAGAGCTAGATCGCCGACGACCCGCCGGTGCGAAAGAGTCCCGAGACTGTCTGTTAGAGAAGAGTCGATCAGTCGGACCGTCCTCCTCTGGACAGCATCGAGCATGGACAACGTAGTCGGGGCGGCAGCACCCCAAATGTGTGAGCAATACTCGAGGCTAGGCCTTGTATAGAGTGAGAAGGTCATGCGGAGAAAAGTACTTCTTAGCCCTAAACAAATAGCCTAGCTTTTTCCCAGCAGCTGCAGCTATTGAAGAGATGTGTTCGTGCCAGATCAGGTCCTCGGTGATCTGGACTCCGACCAGCCGAAATGAATGGCTGTTTTGTAGAATCTTGACTTGACACCCACGTCACAGCACCACTGAGACCCAATCGAGAACCCTACTACTAAAAAAAAGTAAACCGAATAGAGCTCAGTACGGAGCTATGAACGCGTAGACATTCCGCTGCGCCGACGGTTGCCGAGAGACTGAAGCGTGTAAGTGCTGTACCTCGCTGCGGCGATACTGTACGGCCGGGTAGTACAGTCACGCCCCTTTCAAGCTCCCACTCCGCGCGTCTGCTACGGGTCAACATGGAGTCGCTTCGAGAGCAGGAGCTGGAAAGGGGGCGTGACGGTACTACCCAACCGTACCGTATCGAAGTACAGCACTCGCACGCTTCAGTCTCTCCGGTCAACATCGAGTCGCTTCGAGAGCAGACGCGCGGAGTGGGAACTGGAAAGGAGGCGTGACTGTACTACCCTTCCGTACCGTATCGCCGCAGCGAGGTACAGCACTCGCACGCTTCAGTCTCTCGGCAACCGTCGGCGTAGCGGTATGTCCACGCGTTCACAGCTCTATTCGGTTTAGCTATTTTTTTTAGTAGTGGTGTTCACTATAGGGTTCTCGATTGTCTCTAAGTGGTGTTTTAGTGTTGTGAAGTGGGTGCCAAGTGTCTCCAAAATGGAAATTAGATCTACTTCCAACTGTTCTGAGGGAAACAGGATACATGTGCAGCAAATTAGGTGAGCCTTGCATACTCATCTACTTGTGTGTTAGGATTGACATCCTATGTTTTTTAAATAAATTGCGTACATTGCATACACTAAGTGATTAGTCATATATTGAGGTATTTGAGAAAAAATAAAATTTGGCCAAATCGTTTTTATTTTTGTCTGAGTTTATTTTAATAAATGTCAAAAAACTAATGGCAGTACTTGGGCACTACATGATGGAAAGGACGACACTGTATCTAATAGCATCTTCAATGATGTATCACGTTATTTAACCTAGTCTGATCCTTATCTTGGCCACCTCGTAATACATTATTTTAAAAATAAATTTACATGCACTATTCTAACGTTCTTGTAAGTATTTTTATGTACTTACATTCATTTCTGAAAAATCTCAAAACTATTAGTAAAGCCTCGAACAAAAGACTATTTTTAGTCCAAGGAATTGGTGATAGTCAATAATTGACAGTATTTCACATCGTGCTTTGACACCCTTGGCACTATGTTTACTAAATACACATTTAACTTAGTAATGGTATAGTTTATTTCCATTTTATACATACTATTAAAATCATATACACTTAAAAATGAGAGAGTTACGATGGAATGGATATTTTAATCATTATCTAATCTCTGTCTAGTATTTCTTTTTACACCAGAACCAATTTTTCTCTTTTTGAAAGCAGTGCTGCATTCGCCAGTTCCCTCCAGGCACTCTACAGTTTTTTCTTTGAACTCTTTTTTAACTGGTTCAGGATCTTGCTGTTGTACCACGACAGGTGGTTGGTAGTATTGCTGTTCTGGTAACTGCAGGTCTACCGACTTCCTTAAAAAATAAATGAATGAAGAATTAGCAGAGATACACGGTATCCCATTTTAATCTCCCCACCAAAATATCAACAAAAGTTGAAGGGTTTTTAGTGGACAAAATGATGGAGACCTCGACAATAACCTTGACCGCGTGAACATTTTCAAATGGAACCTCGCATTTTCCACATCGGAGTTGAAAAAAGGAACAAAGCCAACAAAAGTGACCATGACCTTCAAGGACAAGCGAAAATTTACAAAGAAAACCTCTCATTTTCATAATGGAAAAAGTATAACATTTCACGTCCGGATAGGACCTTGACCTTGATACGGCCTGGTGAAGGTCACTTCCGGAAGTAAAATTTCCCGGTTTTACCATTTCCAATAAAAAAATGAGGTTTCCCTTGGAAACTTTAACTTGACCTTGAAGGACAAGGTCACCTTTGGGTGATCCCCAGAAACCTCATATCTGGAGCGAATTGCTTCCATTGTCTTGATTTGTCCTTGGAGGCAATGGGCAAGGTCATGGCTAAATGACGTACAATTTGCTGGTCTTTTCAATTCCGATCTATCTATTCGTCATTGTCTGTCAGAGCGGTCCGTAGGACCTTTGCTCTTGGTTGAAGTCTTGTAAGTCAGTAGGTCTTGTTGGCCAGATACCAAACAAAGTCAGGGAGAAAGAAGGGAAGAAGAAAGGAAGGAGGGAGAGCAAAGAAAAAAGAAGTGCATCAATTTGAGGGGTGCCTTGGCATTACTAGTTAGTATTCGGCAATTTTAAATTGATCCTAAAATTAATTTTGGGATTGGTTGTTGAACAAAAATTATACTTTTGGTTGGACCTAAAGTCGCACGATTTAATTTTGTTTACAGTGCGAGTCTGAGTAATCTACTGACTCGCGCAACAAAGAGTTGTTATGCGATTCCGCTTGACTATAACGTAGTTGCGCTTGTTGATTGTTCAATTCCGATATGAAAAGGGGGAGATTTCATTTGAAAATAACCACTTGTCCTTGAAATAACCTTGAACATCGTAGGCAAGGACATTGCCAAGGTCACCGTCATTTTGCGCCCTTGAAATCATACAATTTTCGTTGAATACGAAGAATATGGAGAGGTCTAAGCACTGGAGTTTGCAAAAAAAAACTTTTTTGTTTTGTGTTTCCGCTTATAGAGGTGATATACGTAAATACTTACTGAGGTTTGATAGTCTGCCATTTCCCATACGGATCGTTCTTCCCTGGATCTAAAATCGGTCCATAAACAGGCTCTGGAATGTCATCTTCCACTCTTCGCTCCTTCAGCTTTTCTCTAGCCAGTCTTGCCCTTTCTTCTTCTGCCTCTGCTTTCTGGATCTGCATCCTAAATACAATATTTGTCAAGAACATTATTTATAGTCATATCTCAAGTGGATCGGAAATCAATTTAGCCAACATTTATGAAA